TTGGTTTTGCGGCCACACATGCGCAATTCAACCGGAAGTCCGGTATTTTCGGACTTCCAATCGGATCTTTCCAGGGTCGCTGTTTCCCGACCGCTGGTCAAGGGGAACGAAGACGCTGGGTACGAGGGTGGTTTTTAGTTGTGGAACACCTTGTTCCGCGCGGCGAGAAAACTCTTGTGGAGAAAGATTCTCCGTCGTCGGGGACAACGCAAAGTTCGTTTATCAGAAAGTCGGCCAACTTTGGTAACGTTGTTTCACCTTTTTCCAGTAGGGGCAAAAAAAACGAACATATTTTCAGAGCTTATCCATACACTCTTAAAATTGCCGAACTGCGTTTTGAAACAACAGCCGCACATTCTACAATTATCTGAAGCTCTCGGCTCGGTTTTCTCTCTCTTCAAGGAGCTGGCTTTGTCGGCGTACTGCCACTTCCACTCATTTTTGATCTTCCAGAAGTTTCGAAGCCAAGTGCAAACAAAAGTAACACGCGCTATTCTCTCGCGAAATCAATCAGCAGGTGTATCAAATTTACAAAGAGGACGGAGTTGTGAATAGATTTTTGACAGCTCTACGAACTCATTGTATTGAAAACGGACAGTCGGTTTTTTTTCTCTCGCTGCGAGTGCGTGAGGCTCTTACGCTGCTCTTACTCTCCTTTAAACCAATTTGGAGAAAAACACCGTCCGACTTTTTTGCAGTCTAGTTCGTCCTGTAGAATGACCATGACACATCAATCATAGCGTTAATAACCCTTATTGTTAAAAGAAAATGCATTTGACTTTTTGCGACCAGATGGCAGAATTTGTCAATTTATACCCTTTAGTGTACTTAAGACCGGAAAACTGAAGCATTAATTAGAAATAGATCGCTGACGTTTTGAAATAGCCAGCTATCGTCAGTGATAAATAGGAGATCAGCGTACCTGCTGTTTTTGGTCAAACATTTTTATCAGTCAGCGCGAAAAGCTGGCACCTCAGTTGGGTAACAAACAACTGTCTTTTTCCTACGTGTTAAACTTTACCTTTGAGTTTTAATTGCTGAGCGTATAATTTTGATCTTCACAGGAAAACAACTCAGATAATTTAAGAAGCGAACAGCAGGAGGCTTTTAGTCACCAAAAGTTAGGAGGCATACAACTGTTCAAAACAGCTGGGAAATTTGAGGTGAGAAAAGTAGACTGAAAACTTAATAACAAGAATGATCGATATAAAGATGAGAGGTGATTTTTCCTACTGACATCATTTCTTAGTTATTCTTGCCTATTTCGGCACCACTTTGCTGTATGTAAAATATTCATGTGTTATATATGTTGTAGTTAATCTTTTATCTCAGGTATTTTCTATTTTAATTGCCTTTTTTTTCAACTTCATTTAGCATACATTGCGATTGCGATAAAAAAAATTAACTACAACATATATATGTCATATATATATTGAAAAGATTAATTCCACGTCTGGTTACTTCTCATCCACGGTTCCCGACCTTAATTCCTTCCTTCCTTAGATTCAGCGATTAAAAAACCTACCAGGATCCAATAATTGTTTTATTATTTATTCAGAATAATTCCAAGGTTTAAAGACTTAGCTTACCTTCAACTGCATATCGTACGTCAACTCCTGAAGATATTCTACAAATATTAGACATCCTTGAAAAACATTTTTAAACATTGTTTTTTCATTTTTTTAAAATTATATTTCTTCATTTTGCTTTCTTTTAATTCAGTAAAAGAATGGTACACCAATGTTTCTGGTCAACGCATCAATTAGCAGTCGTCGTATATACGAGCCAGTATCTTTTCCTTCATAGTAGACTTACTTTTACAGTTAGCATGTTCATCGCTCACTTCATAGAAGCGCTTCGATGTATCAATCTTATGACTTGACCATTCAGAATTTCAGAATGATTTCAGCTACAGTGATTGGATTGCATTCAGAAAGTGGATTTTTTTTTTACAATTCTTGACCAGGAAAAATGACACTTTTCTCCATCAGCGGCATTTGCGAGAAAAAAAAGAACGAAAAAATATCCGGTGTTGCATGGACACCACTCGATACAGAAGAACACTGAATGATCATGGCGACAAGATACAAGTTTAGGGGACTTTCCCTGCGCCTTATGGGAGACAAGACGTGCCTAAATTGTAACCTGTATTTATGTTAACCTTAATGGCCAGATTCTCTGTTTTCTCGCCCGGTATCGACCGATCCATTCTTTATTTATTTACTCATTTGTTTAATTATCTATCTTATAATTATTTTCTTCCCAAAGTGACGATATATTTTAAGTAATAAGGAATTCTATTTCTGAAACTTGCACTAGAATCAAACTTAAACAACTGAGCGAACAGCTGCTCGGATCTTTCTCAAAAAAAATGCATTTTTCAAAAGGAAAATAAGTGTATTAATATATTCAACATTTTAAGTGGTCTTCATGACGTAAAAAAAATTAAAAAAATAACAAAAGAAAACAAAAACAGAAAAAATAGAGTGGAACTATTTTGAAAGAAATTCCAGTGCATTTTTAAAATGTAAAAAAAGTACTTGAAGACTGCAACGTAATTGGCTTTTCTTTAGTTTTCTTTTTTTTTGTTGTTGTTGTTTAGTTTTCGTGTTAGTTTTTGTTTTGGTTTACAGCGGTTACCACTAACACGCGCCCTAGAAGGGTTTTTCCTCTCTGTTGAAACCTGGGTTTTCGTGGACGTCAATCAACTGTTTCCATGGTTTTCTTACGCGCTCTGACAGAGAAGGTTCTCTCATCGCGAAATGAAGGGCGAAAACTTAAAGAATTATTTCGAATGACGACGGCTTTTTTAATTATTTCATTATGATAACGGATTATGTTGTTAAAACAACGAGGTCTCTTCGAGCTGAGTGAGATAGCCGAAACACTCCCTATAGTAACGTAAAGGTTTTCAGGTAGTTTATTTATTTGATTGAATGAAAACACGGGAGCCGTGGACTAATTACCAAGGAGTATGAATTCAACGAAACTAATAAAGATATCACACGACAAAACAAAAAAATTTCTTGTGAATGGAGGCTGTTTTCGAAAACGAATTTTGAAACCTGCAGATCTACTTATCATTCTTTATGTTACGGAATATAATCTAGAACTAGCAAGAACTCAGACGAGTTGCGAGCGAGTATTGAGAAAGCTTATCATCACTGGTTGCAAGTTACAGTGTGTACTGAAATAAGTCGATAATTTAAGCTTCCTCCGACAAAAACTCCTACTCGTAATCTTGACATGAAGCTGTGTCAGATTTTGTAGCAAAATATTGCAAAAACGGCTTAAACACCGAGATGCTCTTCCAAGTGCTCGAGAAATGGGGAAAGAATCTTCTCTAGGCAAACGTGTGAAAAACCATGGTAGCTGTTGATTGACGTCCACCAAAACGCAGGTTTGAACCAAAGAAAAAACCCTTTAGGGGCGCGTGTTAGTGATAACCGCTGTAAGTCTCGGTCTCTTTTTAAATTCCACTTTGTTTGATCAAATAAACAGCAGGATGATCTGCGATCGGACTATAGAATCCCTGGGGTACTTCTTTATAATAAGCTATCTGCTCCGTCTCGGGGGGAACTCATCTGTTGAAGTTACTGATTTGAATTGGATACTATAATTATGTACATAAGCTGCATAGATAATTAAAGTTTTAGCCTGAGCAGGGTAATGCATAAATTGCATTAATCATGTATGTTGTGAAATAGAGTAGGGGTGTTAAAAAAATTATGCCTCGTGGCATCACCGGCATTTTGCATTAGGCTTTGATAGATTGGACTAGCATAATGTTTTTCACAATTGGTCACTACGAGCATAATTTTCATCTATTTTTCGAAAAAAAAAGCACTGCTAGTATAAATCGGACTTTTTGTTATAATTTTGAAGTACAAAAGTTGTCATTTATTGAACATGCAACCAATGTTTTTGGTCCGAGATCTGTGTTACAGGCAAATCTAAGTAACGAAATCATTTCTTTGTCTGCTTATTGTCACTTTCATGGGACTTGGGTCCACAGGAAGTGACTCAGGACTCTCTGCACAAGACTCAACGTACAGACGTAACAAGCTCGGTTGCCTGGGGTGGCATCCGCGTGTTGGTTGTTTATTGTTTGAGTTTTTATACTTGTCAGACAATGAATTGGGGATTCTTAAAGTTTCTTGGTGTAAACAGGGTAAATGAGTTTGCCATTTACTTGTAAATGAAGCATTGAAGCGTTTTTTTTAACAAATTTAAAGTAAAAAGTGAGAAGCATACCTTCTGCATTTTGTTTGCTAAAACGAGCTTAATTTACAAAAACTAGCAGAAGTATTGGCATAATTTTAGAAATATACGAGCACTGCAAGTAGCATATCATGCTACTTTTGCGAGCACAGTCTTTCAAAGCCTATTTTCCAGGGACCTCTTTCCTCCCCTCCCCTCCCGATAACTCGTGGTTATTAAACTTTGCGTGCATAACTCTTTAACACCCCAGAAATAAATTCAGTGACATGCTATGAACCATGATTATTTTGTTTGCAACAGATTGGAAGATGGCAGGCATGAAAACATTAATCATTATTTTCGTTATCATGTTCCCAGTCGCGATGATAACAGAGGAAGATGTAAATCATGGAGGTAACAACTACGACATCACTAACAAATTTAATTGCGCACCTGCGGATTGTCGCCATTATATTTCAGCGTCCTGTCTCTGCTTCATGTACAAAAAGCCCCTTAAAATTTTCATTTTTACACTTTCCCTAAAACATCATTCCGAGGATTCCATAATTTTTACATTGTCCATAAAATTTGCATGAGAATTGTTTTCAGCTTTTCCAGTAAGTATAAGCAGTCGTCATAAGAGAAATTGAAGACAATTTACTGAAGCATAATTTTTGGGGCGTAAACAAGATGTTTTACGGGGGATTTAAAAGTGGTGAATATGTTAACAACTTCTAATAAAACAAATGTAATAGCATTATATTTGTTTTATTATTATTTTTTTCATTTTACACTTCAAAAATGCGCGATCAACATATGGCAAGATTTCTTTCGTTCAGTGTCCGTTCATGAATTGCTTTGCGCTATTGTTTTCTTCCCTAATGGATTTGAAATAAATTTGCTATACAGTCAACTCTCCCTTAACAAACACCTCTTTAGACGGACAACCCTCTGGTGTTGGCCCCTGTCATTGCCCAGTCATTTGACTGTAACTATGCTCTTTATAAGACGGAAAGCTCTCAAAGACGGACAACCGACACTTTTGAAACCATCAACGGACAATTGAGAAGTGCTTTAGGTAGTGACAAATACCGCAATACGGAAATGTAGGTGCACTACATGACAGTACAAATTGCAATTAGAGTAAGCAAATTACATACCCAAATATAATACGCGTCTTCTTACAGCGCGTATNTATTATTATTTTTTTCATTTTACACTTCAAAAATGCGCGATCAACATATGGCAAGATTTCTTTCGTTCAGTGTCCGTTCATGAATTGCTTTGCGCTATTGTTTTCTTCCCTAATGGATTTGAAATAAATTTGCTATACAGTCAACTCTCCCTTAACAAACACCTCTTTAGACGGACAACCCTCTGGTGTTGGCCCCTGTCATTGCCCAGTCATTTGACTGTAACTATGCTCTTTATAAGACGGAAAGCTCTCAAAGACGGACAACCGACACTTTTGAAACCATCAACGGACAATTGAGAAGTGCTTTAGGTAGTGACAAATACCGCAATACGGAAATGTAGGTGCACTACATGACAGTACAAATTGCAATTAGAGTAAGCAAATTACATACCCAAATATAATACGCGTCTTCTTACAGCGCGTATCTTTTAAACGGCAAATGAAGATAACCTCTTAACAGCTATGTTCTCGGTCTTCTAGCTGAACTGTTTCAGCCTTATGGGAACTTCAGATAGTGACATCAAAAACAAACCATTGTAACCTATGTACAATAGAAGCCCGGTAACTCGAATTCTGAAGGAAAACGAAACACAGTTCGAGCTAGCGAGGGTTCGAGTTATCGGGGTCGATTGAAAAAATTATGTTGCCATGTTACGATTACATTTTTAATCAAGGGAAAGGAAATTTATTTCGAGTTAGCAGGAAATTCCAGTTATCCGAGTTCGAGTTAACCATGTAAAGATGATTGGAAAGTGGGGTGAAACTCAAAGGAAATTGGACTTAGTTTAGCGTTACTGTTGCTGTTCAGTAGACGCCGTGAACGTTGACATGTGTATGAACCACGTGTAATGGTAGAATGAGAAAATGATTTCACCTTTCAGTCCCTTTAATAGACGGAGAGTCGGGACGGGACCAGAAGGTATCTTCCTTAGAAAAAATTGACTGTATTATTATTATAATTATTATTATTATTATCGTCACTGTCATTATCATTATCATTATCGTTATCGTTATTATTATTAAATTATTAGTAGTAATAGTATTTTATCGTCATTTCCTATTATTTATTACTATTAAATAATAATAATAATATTACAACTATAATAATTGTTATATTTATTATTGTTTTGCAAAGTTGATAAAATTTCGTTAGCATACAGATTGAAATTTTTGGTTCATATGTGTTGCTACTTTGCAGTTTGTCCTGTTCCGATGAATAAAGAAGAAGAGGAGTTTATTAAAGAGCGGGAAAGAAACAGAGAACTAATGGAAGAAATCGCCAGAGAAATTGAAATAACGTGCCTAGGTAAGTTAAAAAATAGAAATAAATGAGCTTATTTAAAAACCTTGGATGAGCAAGTCCTTCCGCGCGAATTGCACGCCCTTTTGAATTGTTTAACCCTTTGGGACAGTTGGGACTGTTCTATATGGAACAGGGCAGATTTTACATTTCTAAAGCCACTTACCCTTTTAGTTTAACCCATTTAGTTTTTATGCAGCAAATACACTATCTACAGGTAGCCATTGTGACTCCTGAAGGAAATAACCCACCCTGCCCAGGAAAGGTTGGCCACACCATCGGGGTTTACGTCCAATACTCTGTCCAGTGTTTGTCCGGCCGGGGTTTGAACACGCAATTTCCCACTCAGCAGACCGGCGCTCTTTTGACTGCGCTTATCAGACACTGCTACCTTATTATCGAAATCCTGACTAATCTTGTGAGGGTTCTGAGAGTTATAGACAAACATTTTGGGCAAAAATCCACCGCCAATTTCGCTATTTGCCACTACTCTAAATAAAAGCTAAATCGCCCCAATTCCGAAAGGCTATAAGTTGGACTAGATATGTATAGAATAAAAGGAGCAAACAAGAAAGCTCCCAAAAACGTTTATGCTAGTTTTTTTCTCTAAAAACGCACAAGATTTTCCGACTTGGAATTTAATGGTACGATTTTAGCTAAACTATTTCTAGTCCATTAGCCATTTTGTGAGAAGTGGGTAAAAATTCTATATTTGTAGCAACCCCTTATGGGAAATTGTTTCGTTGTTATTAAACGAAAACTTAGGGTGTGCTAAATTGTGATCAGTCTGTTACCAAACATGAGACTTAAGGAAGGAACGTTATTGGAAAAATTGGGGGCTTATATTAAATGGTTGTGGATGACGAGAAATTTTTCCCTTAAATAATGAACTATAATTATGCAAATTCGAAGCCTTTCTCTCAAGTTAATAACCCTTTTTAATTCGATCAAACTTTTTCAATTCATGGCGACAATTGAAATTTAAGGTGCGTTTGATTCCATGGGAAATCCGGATTTGAGTCTAAAGTCTGGATTTTAGATTTGGCAATCAAACGCGAAATACAAAACGGATTTCACCCTCACCCCCCGAGAAATCTTTCACCAAATCATGACTTTATGGGTGTCCTTTATACCGTTCTAGTTGGAAAAGCGAAAAAAGACTTGTAAAACTGTTCTCGTGGACAATGTTTTTTTTTCTGCTTGTTATGCGTGCGCGTGCGAGACAACTGTTCTCTCAAAAACAGTTCATATCTTTTCTCGTATCCCCGATCTCCGCACCCCCCCCCCCCGCCCCCCCGCCCGAAAAAAAAAAATTAAAAACTAAAAAAAAAGAAAAAAAGAAAAAAACATAAAGAAGCATCTGCGTTTAAAAACCCTTTCTAAAACATTCATACTTGCACAAGCAAAAAAAAACTTAAAAAACTTTTCCAGAAGAAAATGTGTTTTTTTCAGCATTTTTTGCGTGCGTATGGGAGAAAACTGTTCTCTCAAAAACAAGAGAGAACATTTCTCACCTCCCCGAACTCCCCACTCCCCCCCCCCGTCCCCCTGTTTAAAAAAAAAAATTCAAAATTCAAAAAAAAAGGAAGAAAGGAAAACCAATGACAGGCTTATCTGCGTTGAAATCCGTTTTCAGATTTCGCGTCGTTCGATCCGAATTTCAAAAATCCAAGTCCAGATTTCCCAATCGAATACGCCGGCCCTTCTATCTTTAGAAGTTAGTGGTGAGTTGCCATGGCAATGGCTGCTTCTGAGTCTTTATACTCTGACCCATTTTTTATGTTTAATTTTTGTTAGCCCATTCCCCCATAAAACCCCCAATTTTCTAGTTGATGTTCAAGTTTCATGTCTGAACACAGACTGATCACAATTTAGCACACCCTTAGCTTTGAATTTTTAAGGGTGCTACCCAGTTACATTTGTTGGGTTCTTGGCTCATGAACTATTTCGGGTGCTCGCAAACAGGAGAAAAGATGTTTTGTTTCTCTTTAAACGTGAATAAAGGCAAAACTTAGCTATGAAAGTGAAACTTGCCGACTAGTAACAGCGGAACTCAGACTAAACGTTCAGGGCGTAAACGAAAAAGAAGCAATACCACTCGTGGCACGAAAAATTATCCCGCGCTGACTGCGGCAGTCCAAAAGCCCGCGAAATACTGATCACCAAAGGTCAAATTTCACTTGTATAGCAACCACGTAGACCAGCAACACCATACGATAACAGTATTGATACCAACGTTTTCTCAATGTATTTTAATCAAGAGATCATAATATCAGTTGTTTGTGCTTACAGGAGAAAACGTTTAAGTCAAGGAAATTCTTAACTTACTTTTTCTTGCTTATTTGTAGACGAGTGTAAAGCAGAACTACATAACTGCCACGATGATGCATACTGCACCAACACCAAGCGTTCCTTCACTTGTACTTGCAAACCAGGATATACTGGGGATGGCGTCAACTGTGCAGGTAACATAATATGGAGCTGAAACGAACAGGATTTTATCTTAAGTCATATGCTATTCCATGCCAAAAATAAATATAGCCAAATGGAAAGGAAGAAACCTGTTTTCATATTCAGTCAGTGTTATGTCACAGATTGTATCTACGAAAAGAGTTTTGGCCTTGGTACGTGTAAAGTTGTGGCCTCCAACTTTCCCACAGAAATCAATATCAACGGAAATGATTTTAACCACCAAAAAAAGTATATTTAAAGCCAACGCTGCAATGTACGTATGTTAATACAGCAAAAAGGCAACATTTGTATTCTTGCTTTCACAAAAAGTAATAATAATAACTGCTACAACTTAACTGGTCGAGCTCGAGCTGTATCCGCAATAACACACACAGGCTTAGTGCCAGTTAGGCTGGGGAAACAAAAAGTGTGACCAACATATGGCTGGGACAGGAAACACCGAGCTCAAAGGTTCAGAAACAGAAAAAAACTTGGGATCTATCCTTGATATGACGAGATCATCTTCACTAATATACCTAACAAGGCACGAAGGCCAATAGTCAGCTAGAGCGCAGCATTTAAGGTAAACAGGTGTTTATTACGATTGAGGCCGGGGGTCTGTAGCATTGCCAATTCAGGACTGCGTCAATCATTGACTTATGTCGCCACTTAAGGTGGCCCGAACCTATTTATATGCGGGCTGGTTAGGTTTTGAAATCGAGTTTTTTATCTTTAAAACCGTATAATTACAAAAAATGTCAATAACTTCGAATTCAAACCCTTAGACAGATTTTTCTCTAACTTCAGCAAATAAGCCTCAGAGCTCTCTCTAGTTTTGTATCTGCAATTTTGAAGTCAATCGTGACCGTAGAACTCGCTGCACAAATATCTGGTCAAATTTTTATCTTAAAATGCAATGCTAACACATTTGTGAAAGTTGACACACAAATAGGGGAAAACTGCCGACGGACTATTTCCTATCTGCAAGTGTATTCTTGCCCAAAGCTTCAGTTGCAAGAAACTGAGTAATCAGAAACCTACGGCGAATACAATTCGCAATACAAGAAGAACAACTTTAAGCTGAATGTAGGCAAGATGAACGAACATCTGTTTATCAAAGTTACTATGTATTTGTCCTTCCCTTTTCGAAAAAAATCTCAACAAAGCAGGATATAGCATCTACGAAAATCTAGTTACCAGTTTTAGTACCGAAGGTACCCGTCTTGAGGAGAAATAGAGCCACCAACTCCAGTACTTCAACTGATCCATTTTCAGCTGCAACGAAAGCCCAAGTATTAGGTAATTTATCGAAGCTTGTAAGATTTGCAATCACATTCGCACGGGCAGTTTGCCACTGGGGGTAATGAAAAGAATAGGACGATTGTCATATTTTCTTCGTCTTTATCCCCAAGCGGCAAACTTCCCGTGCGAATGCGACATCAAGTCTAAAAAGCTTGAATAAATTACCAAGTGCAAGGGCTTTCAGTGCAGCTGAAAAATGGACGGTTAGAAGTACTGGAGTTGGTGGCTTTATTTCTCCTCAAAACGGAAACCTGCGACGCTAAAAACTTTTAAGTGTTTTTCGTAAATGCTATATTTTGCCTTGTTAAGATAGGTTTCGAAAAGAGAAGGTCAAATACAAAGTAAGTTTGATGAATGGAAGTTCTTTAATCTTGCCCCGTGTTCAGCATAAAGTTGTTCTCCTTGTATTGCGAACTGTATTCGCCGTAGGTTTCTGATTACTCAGTTTCTTGCAGCTAAACTTTTGGTCAAGAATATCATTGCAGATAGGAGATACTCCGTCGGCAGCTTTCCTCTATTTGTGCGTCAACTTTCACAATGTGTTAGCTTTAAATTTTAAGATTTAATTTAACCAGGTATTTGTGCAGCGAGTTCTACGGTCACGATTGACTTCAAAATTGCAGATATAAAACTAGAGAGCTCTGAGGTTTATTTGCTGAAGTTAGAGAAAAATCTGTCTTAGGGCAAAGTTATAGACATTTTTTGAAAAAATACGGGTTTAAACGCATGCCGATATCTCAAAGGTTTTTATACCTACAAGAAAATAAATAATAGTTTCTTAAAGTTCGACTATTCTTTATTAAGGATGCCAAAAATCATAGAAATCGGTTAAATCTTTCCTGCCGAAAAACACGATTCAAAACATAACCAACACGCAAATATAAATAGGTTCGGGCCACCTTAAGACCGGTCCCGGGACAGCTGTTCTAAGCATACATTGAGGCTAAATACATAAGATAAGGAACAGGTGAAAAACGGCACTAACCGTACAGAAAAAAAAGAAGAAATTATAAAATTCAAAGAACTGGCAGAGCTTAGCGGCCAACAGAAATAAATGCGGTCAGACAGAGGCCAGAAAAGAAAACCTGCCCAAAAGTCCACGAAGGGAAAAAGTGCGGGCGGGAAATCTGGAAAGGAACCAAGCCTCAAGCTCAAAGGCGTTTCTACGGGACTTTACAAGTTAATCGAAATAGGCCGCTCCTAAAATAAACAAAAAAAATTAAGAAAACCGAAGAAAGGTTGTTTCAGAAGCCGAGATGACGTACACGCGATATTTACTGAAGTAGCCTTTTATACTCCCGGTATGGACAAGACAAGACAAGACAAGAACTTTATTTGTACCACACAGAAAAAAAGACATTAACAAAAGACAATGCTACTTATGTAAGGTACAAGCGTCCTATAGCTAAAAAGCTAATCTAGCTAGAAGGCATTATAGATTAATTAAGAATATTTAAGAGGTTTTTTCACGGAGGCACAAGTAGAAAACAATGTAAAAAACGAACAAACAAACAAATAAACAAAGAAAAGAAAAGAAAAAAACGGGTATGTGCAGAATTGAATCACTGAAAAATTGAGGAACTGGAGAAAATATTGGAAAAGAAAGAACGTAATATAAACTAGCTATAGCCCCTGACTTAACACCCAGGTTCTGTGGTATTTCGTGCCGTCAAAATAGTTATTTCTCATTCGTAGCGGGATCATTCGTCATAAATAACATAACTTGCCACATTTAAAACTTTGAATATTCATTTGTCTCTGATTTTATCTGCCATTTTACTGTTGTTGTAAGTGCCATCAATTGAATTAGTGTTCCTTTCAATTGCCTTATTTTAAAAACTGATTTATTCATTCGTGGACTACCAGCCTCGAAAGCATTGCATTGCTATCTCTCATCCAATAGATATAAAACTGAAATAGAACCGATTCAGTTTGATAATTCAGCATTAAATCTTGATTTCCAGACATAAACGAGTGCAACACAGGAAAACACAACTGTGACATCGGTAGTTCAGCGTGCCATAACACTATAGGATCCTTCGGATGTGTTTGCAAGGAAGGTTATTCTAAAAACCGAGAAAATACATGTACAGGTAACACTTCAAATCCCTTAATTGAAACACTCAGATATTTCGTAGCCACGTCTCTTTCAAATCAATTTCCTCTGTTCCAAAGTGGTTTTTCACTAAATTCGCCTTAATTTAAGTCTCGTTAATTTCCATAACACCTTTTACTAGTACTGATCGCAGAGCATTAAGTTCCTTTAATAAGTCAGGTATATTGTGATTCTAATAGGCCATTTTCGAGTTGACTCGAGCTTCTGTCTTTTAAGACAGTTTTAAAAAACGAGGCGAAGTGCGAAGCCTTTTGATATGAAAATTAATTTCAAAGGAGAAGAAAGGTTTGAGAATTGACCTCGTTTTGAAATGAAAAGTGATCGCATGAAATGGCAATTATGGTAGGCCACAATAATTGCTGTGAAAGAAAACGGAAATCAGTTTTAATCATTCAGTGCCTGACTTCTTTTTTGCAGATATAAATGAATGTGAAGCAGGAAAGCACAACTGTCATGCAAACGCTAACTGCAAAAACACTAAAGGATCCTTTGTATGCACCTGCAAGCCAGGGTATTCTGGGAATGGGGTTAATTGCACAGGTGAAAACAATACCTCGGTCTTCTTTATAATGAATCTTTTTCTAATGAACTCCATTTATCTCGCATTAGAGCTAAGTTCAGCCACAAGGTCGTATGCAGCTTAGTCCCTGGTAGTGCAGTTTGTTCTTTTAAGCTGAATAAGTATGGAAATGCTCTTGCATTATAAAAGTTTGTGAGTTGCAGTATCTGTATGCAATTTTAGCCTTATACATCCTTGAGATATTTAAGTTTTTTATGTATTATTATATTGTGCTCCTGCAAGATTGTCATGTCCGAACACGTATTCACGCTGGGTGAGCTTACTACATTTAATTATATCAGACCAATGTACACAATTCCGTCTTTAGAGTATGAGCGGAAACGTGTCCTTTTTATCCCTCATTCTGTTGGCCATTTTTCTTTAGAGAGGAAGTAATTCTGTATTCTCTAATGTCTTGCTTCCTTAGGTCTTGCGAATCCTCTATCTATACATTTGATGTCATTTCTGAATTTCTCACCTGCTCTATATATAGCTAAATGTTTTTGCTTTTCAGTATAGCCAGAAATCTCTCGCTCCTTCTTTCTTCTGATCGTAATCAATCCTAGAAAATAAAAAGGTTAAGTAAATCAGTTTTGATGATTTAGCCCTGCATCTGATTTGCAGACGTAAACGAGTGCATAACAGGAAAGCACAACTGTTATGCCAATGCAGACTGCAATAACACTGAAGGATCTTTTGAGTGCACTTGCAAGCCAGGGTATTCGGGAAACGGAGTTAACTGCACAGGTGATTATTTTACAGTAAAGACCTGGATCGTCTTGATGTTAAGGCTATTAATTCATTATTATTTTGTCTCGAGTTCCCGCGTTTGAGTCCCTGAGTAGAATCCAAAAGTGACATTTCCAAATTTACAAATAAGAGTTTGAAGTCTAGCCTTTGATCGACAAAGTGATCGTTGTCATAATTATTTAGCAATTACTGAATGAACCTGAGTAGGCTGCATGTGAAGAATCATGTAGAGCGAAGAGGATGCTATCCTCAATCTTGCGGTGACTCAATCTAGCTTGATCGAAGTTTAGTACATCTGATCAATCCACTGAAAGCGTTACTTCTCCCAGTAAAGATAGATCATAGATAATCAAATAATCAAATCGCAGCCGGCTGAAGGCTGAATTGTTTAATTATTTACAATACAATAAAAAGTATTAAATAATAGTAAAAGACTAATTTCAATTTTGTTAATTAGGAATAATGATAATGAAGAGCTGAAAAAGAAAGGAAAAATAACGTAATAACACTTAATCTTACATTATAGTAATATGTTTGGACGGTCGCACATGGCTGGTTTGAACGAATTTTTGCAGCTGTTTGTGCGAAAATGGGGCAAGTCGTAAACTCTCTCCTGTCTGGTATTGTAGTAGCCTTGGTGCTTCGGAGAAAGCAGGCAAGGGGATTTGTGCTGATCCGAGGATATACTATTAAACAGCTTAAATGAAGCAGCTGCACCAACAAATACCAAGAAAGAGAAAAAATTTGGCCTGTCGGTGTTTACTGGTCGCTAGAAAAGAATTTTCTTACTGAATTTGGAACAAAATCATAACAAATGATCCCCGAAACATTGTAAATTGAAACGTAAACAAACTCGAACTAACTGATTTTTATCCAACTGATTTGGTAAGTACTAAAACAACTATCCCCCTCAGGGTCGGTTCATAGCGCTAGATATATACCTCGACGCTTCGCGTCTCGGTATATTTCACCTGACTATTCTGATCACCTTTCCTTCGGGGGATAATTGTATATTATATAAACGTTCCACTTGAGATCGTTAATAGTAATAATAATAATAATAATAATAATAATAATAATAATAATAATAATAATAATAATAATAATGATAATGATAATGATAATGATAATAATAGGGGCAGTACTTTCCTTAGTATCTTTGCTGTCCCCAATAATGCTGTTTGCTGGATAACGTTCACGCCGATTCGCTTCAACATTAAGGAGTACATGAAGAGAATCGGCGTGAACGTGAGGTTGGAAGTTATCCAGAAAACAGCATTGTTGGGGACAGCAAAGATACTAAGGAAAGTATTGTCCCTTCAAGAAGAAGGAAAAGAGAGCCCTGGGAGCCGTGGTGAATTGTTGTAGCCCGCTCCAAAGGACTATAAGCCAGGCCGAACATCCTGCCTGAGTCTACAACGAATGTACATAATAATAATAATAATAATAATAATAATAATAAAACTTATATAGCGCCGATATCAATATTGCTATTTTCATCAGCGCTTAAAAATAAAAATATTTCACACAAAAAATTACTAGGACTGCATAAAGTATACAAAGTGCATGAACCTACCAAAAAGAGTTAAAACAATTATGTCAACACTAAAATCATTAAAATTACCTAGACTACTTAAATGGTAAAAAACTGCATAAAACCTACTAAAAACGAGATTAAAAAGCACATAAAATTACAAAAAAGCTTTCTGAAATAAAAATGTCTTGAGTGTCTTTTGAAAAGATGCTATTGAGGGGCTACTCCTAATCGCATAGGGCCATGAATTCCATAGATGAGGAGCAGGAGCAGCAAAAGATCGATCTCCTAATGTTGTTAAAGTCTTGATTTCACAGGGTTTAGTAGCAGTGCATCTCAATCGGAGAGTAAATTGTATTTACATGCTTCTTTAAGATTAATAAGTTCCTGGAGATAAAAAGGTGCTAAGCCAGTGATAGCCTTTTACGTTAACAGTAGTATCTTAAAGTCAATTTTGAATTTAACCGGCATTATACAGCACCGGTCTTACCTGGCAGTATTCAGATTTCTGGAAAATTAACCTAGCGGCAGCATTTTGGATCCTCTGTAGCTTATTAAGCTGGTAGGCTGGTAGGCCACAGAGCAGGCTGTCACAACAGTCGACTCGACAGTGTTATACCTAAGCGTTTGGCACTATTAAACAGCTAGTTCCTTCTCGTCGACCACAACAGGGCTGAGGACATGTTTGTTATTTTTAAAGTCGATTATCATCTCCTTGAATTTGTGAGCGTTTAGTCAGGCTTCTGATATTTCGCGGAAAAAAAAAGCAAAATTTCGCGGGATTTTCAAGGTCAAATTCGCGGAAAAATCGGCCGATTTCGCGGGATTTTCGCGGGGGAAAAGTCAAAATTCGCGGAAAAATCGGCCTATTTCGCGGGAGAAAAGTCAAAATTCGCAGACAAATCGGCCTATTTCGCGGGATTTTAGCAGAAAAAAGGTCAATTTTCGAAGGATTTTCAGGGGCAAATTCTTAGAAAAATCGGCCGATTTCACGGGAAATTTCGGGGGAAACTTCGCCAAGAAACAATCAGTAAAACACAGCCGATTTCGCTGGATTTTTTTTGGCAAATTTCGCTAAAATCGATCAATTTTTGCGTCGATATGACCAGCGTTGGTGAACGTATTTGCTCTTTCAACAACAGTACGCTCGAGAAATGAGCGAATGCTAAAGCCATTAACATTATGGTTAGTGCCCAGTTTTTCGCAACGTTCATCTGAAAACGCCTGGTAGTTTTGGGAAGTTGTTGACTCGTTTCAGTGACGAAGTTTCAAGCTAAATTTCGACGTTTGGGGTGAAAAAAAAAAACGATCTACCAGGTAATAGCCAAGATAAGTATTAAATATGTTTTGCCGACATGTATTTGGAAATATTTCTGGCGGATTTCGCGGTATTTCGCGTTTTTTTGGGAATTTCGCGGGATTTCGCGGAAATACCTGAATTTCGCGGGTCCGCGACCGCGCGAAATATCAGAAGCCCTGTTTAGTTGCATGCATTNTGCCGACATGTATTTGGAAATATTTCTGGCGGATTTCGCGGTATTTCGCGTTTTTTTGGGAATTTCGCGGGATTTCGCGGAAATACCTGAATTTCGCGGGTCCGCGACCGCGCGAAATATCAGAAGCCCTGTTTAGTTGCATGCATTGCTCACGTGACCATTCCTCGACGGCACTAACTGCGCTTTGAATGTCACCCTGTGCACCTCGCGGGACTAACTCATCAATAGTAGAGAGATTAAGCATCGCATTTACGGCAAACGGCAAAATTGAGATTCAAGTTGAGAAACTTTTAAAATGAGAAATGAGCAGATAAAAGCAGCTAAAAACAATTGTTATGGATAAAATTGGCCTGAATTTACCGATTTTCGTGTAGTTATAATAAACTGAAAACGATTAGTGAAGGGAAAACTTGCTTACGTTTGCCGTTTGCCGTAAATGCGATGCTTAATCTCTCTGGTAAGTATCGTCAACGTACAAAATGTGCTTCTATGTGTCCACACTGAAATCCCCTGAGGAATAACGATGGGCCTAGTTTGGTTCCTTGAGGCACACCAGTGGGCACAGGGCCAAATTCATAAAAACAGTCTCTAGAAAACTTTAGGCGTTGTTGTCTATGAGTTAAGAAGTCGGCCACCCAGAGGGCAACAGCGCAAGGAAAAGATAGGCCGAAAACTTTGCGCACAAGTAGGGTGTGGTCGCTGAGATCGAAGGCCTTCCTGTAATCAAACGGGACGACTCTCACAGCAGCCCCAGACCCGTCCGTGGCTTGCAATCAGGTACTTGTAGCATGTACGTAAGGGCGTGTAGGGTAGAGGACGCTGGGATGCAACCATACTGATTTGGATCAATCACCTATAGAACCGCAGGGCCGAAATGGCGACGAAGTCCTGTGCAAGTTTAGATATTACGGAGGTTGGCGAGATCGGACGGAGATATTTGTTGATGTTGATAACAGGTTTTAGCTTGGGGACAGGCACCATCTTCCAGGATGATGGCCGTCTCTGCTCCGCGAAACTGCTGTTTTGCACAGCTAACTGGGCAAGCAAGGATACCTACGTACGCCTTCACCATACTACCCGGCCATCTAGTCCTGCCGCCTTCATAGGGTTAAGCCTTTTTAAAGCAGATAAAACGGCGGGTTCGGATAGGGTCAGCAGTGACAAATCCTCACTGTGTGACGGGAGTAATTCAAGCCTTTGGAGGGACTCCATAGGTTGTAGGAATCCTGAGTTGATTTGGCTGGCAATCTCTTGGTCAGACAGAAGAGCGGAACCTCGATCTATAAGTTGGCAAACAAAGGGTCTGAGCCAAGAGCGAGAGCCATGTCAGCGATCCACTTGACCGTACTCCATCACTAGCTAGGCTTGGTTTGCTTTAGGTGGTTGACTTTTGAAGCGTAGTAGTTGCTACAGAGAGCTATCCCTCTGTCTAAAGGAATGGGGCCAAAATGAAAAATCCGGCCGGATTTTTTGCGTTCGCTACCAGTTTACTTTGCAAAATCCTGCCAGCAAACCTCCTTAACGTGTACTAACCAGGCTTCTATACTTTTTACATATATCACTTGTAAAAGTAAACAGTAGTTTTAGGCGCCGAATTTATTCAGACCATACTCGGTAATTATTGGGAGTTTCAAGAAACGGCAATTTGAGAGAAACAATCAACTTGTTAATTGACAAAGCTATTCTAAAGAGTTGCAAGAAAAGGCACACCTTGGCGTTGGCTTTGAGTGTTTACCGGATAGTATATGACATGATACCACATAGCTGGATTGTCAAGTGTTTGGAGATGTTTGAAATAGCTGGGAATGTAAAAAGGCTATTTTATTAATGGTATGCAGACATGGAAGTAGAGTTATCATCATCAGGCGAGAGGTTGGAAGTCATTATAATTAGAAGGAGAGGCATTTTCCGGAGAGCTATTTGTTTTGTGCACGATTACATTCACATTGGTGTTGAGAAAATCAACAGCAGGTTATGATCTTGCGGAGAATTTAAGATTAACCATTTTTTTTTGTGAACGACTTAAAATTGTTTGGGAAAAGTGAAGATCAAATAGATTCGTTGGTGCAAACTGTACAGTTGCTTAGTAAGGACATTAGAATGGAGTTTGGATTGAAAAAGTGTAGTGTGTTGAGTAGTGATAGAGGAATGAAATTAAGCCTCGTTGGTGTCGAGTAAGTGTCGAGTAAGGTCCAGGTAAATCATTGATATGCATAAGAGTCAAGTCCATGACGTCACCCATTGCTTTAACCTAGGGAAAAAGTGGGTTCTGAAAAGTACCGCAAGTGATCCCCAACCGCAAATGATCCCCAAAATGGACCGCAAATGATCCTCGACCGCAAGTGATCCCAAAGTCGACCGCAAATGATCCCGTGAAAAATTGAGGGAATGGATTGGATCTTACGGGACTGATTACAAAAAAGGACTGATTATAAAAAGGAACCTTTTCCTCTTGCCTTCTACAGAAAAAGACATGGAGGACGCCCGATCTCAGGTCAATTTGTACAAGGCGAAAAAAAAAAATGGAATAAATCTGAAAATGATATGACTTCAAGAATGTTTCATCGGTGTAAAAAAAATCCTTAATTTTGTATTAAATTATTTTTTAACATAACAAGCGCTTAATTGACTTTACTGATCTTTTTGGAAGTGTCGCATTAATTTTCAGATATTTAATTATGATTATTCTCTGAAGTGTTAATTCTACGTGATAAACAGCAAGACATTTGTTAGTAACCCAAGTGCTTGTTACGACACAAGACTTGGTTTAAAATAAACAAACGTCAAAATGCCCCCGAACTTATCTGATGTCCACAGGTTTCGGTTTATTTCGAAATAGCAACTTGCTCACTGAACAGCTCATAAACATGTTGCGGATAGTTATATTGACGCTTATATGTATATTCATTTGCTGTGCCTTTGCTGGAGACAGTTACCAGGAATCTAAACCTGGTAATGACAAACAGAAAAGCAAGGTAAGCGGTAGTTGTGTTTATTTTTACTTATCCCAGCCAGAAAGAGTGTCAACATTCGGATTACGGTAAGCACGTGGCTAGCTATTCCATTTAACAAGTATTTGGAGACTGACGGGACCATAGTAATACACAAAAAAGTGCTATTGTTATAACGGGAATAGTGTTCCAGAGCCTCTAGATTTTCTGCTCCCAGACTCTCTACTCGGGCTATCGTTCGCCCTCGGCGATCGCAGATCTTTACTATGTCACCTCAGTACTAAGCTTTGAAGACGCACCTAGCTTAGTAGGATGCTTAAATATAAATTGCACATGCAGTTGGCGTCTCATGTAAACAAGTTACTTCTAAAAACTAAAAAAAAAACGCCAGTGTAAATTTGGAAAGAAAAAACCCCTCCTTTATTCAGTTTTCAAAAGAGTTGACGAATATCTTATTTTTCGTTTGTTATCAGCCTCAACGAAAAAATGTCCCAATAGACGATGACGTATACGATGCTTTGCTGTCGGTCTTAAGTGGAGCTAGAAGGTTCCAGGATTGGCCTAAAACTGATGATCCAAGTTTGAGACAACGGGTTTACAGAAAATGGAAAAGTGGTTTTTACGAAATTAGAGACGTACATGATCCCATGGCAGGGAAAATTTGCCAACGAATTGTACACAAGGCCTCAAATTGTATTGTGGTAAAAAAATCGGAGGTGTCAAAAATCGTAGATTGTGCTTATCAAGAAACGAAAGGTGATGGTGCTGTAAAGCTTAAGATCCATACATCTTACCAATATACCGGAATATCTCGACGAATAATTCAAGCAAACCTGAATTCCATGAAACAGAATCAGAAGGTCCGCCCTCTTTTCCAGAATAAAGCTCCTCTGAGACCAAGTAAGGCCTCCAAAGTGCAGGAGAGGCATCAAGTAGATCTAGTGAGCATGGCCAGCATGCCAGTAACGATAGATGGTGAAACATTCAAGTACATTATGTCAGTGATAGACATTTTTAGTCGGTTTGTGTTTTTACGTCCTCTTCAAACTAAGGAGTCCGCTGAAGTGGCTGAACATCTTTTAGAAATTTACAATGAGCACGGTCCCCCTGAAATTCTCCAGAGTGACCAAGGAACAGAGTTCAAGGGTGTAGTTAAGTTGGTTTGTGAATCCCTCAATGTTCGTATTATCAAAAGCTCAGCTTACAGTCCGCAAACCCAAGGAAAAGATGAACGTTCCCATAGAACGTGGAAAGAGAAAGTTAAGTTTGACATAGTAAGTGGCGATGACTTAAACTGGGTAGAATATCTATCTGAATATCAGAAGTTGTATAATGAATTTCCACACAGCTCACTGGGATTTCTTACACCATTTGAAGTGTACTTTGGCCGGCCCCCAAACAGACTTAAAAACAAACTTTTTCTTGATGAAGGAATGGATTTTGAAGTTCAAGACGAAAATGAGGAAGCATTTCCACGGGTAGACGAAATTCCCAGAGAGGAAGACCTGTGTGAATTAGAAAACAATAGATTTTTGTTGAGACAGAAGGCTTTAAACGCTTCTAACAATGCGGCGCAAAAAATGGTCAAAGGGAGTTAAGGCGACATCCTCCTTCACTGTATGTCATAGGAGAGACTGTTTTAGTTAGAATTCCCACTTCCAAAAAAACCGTCAAAGGGAAAAAGAAATCTTTGAAGTCTACCTGCAAGGGGCGTGTCGTGGACATGGACCATGCACTGCAAAGGGACAAAATTCAGTACACAGATCCAGTCACCTTAAAAGGAAAAAAAAATTGGTTCAAAGTTAACGACATTACGTCCCTTACAAAGGAGGAAGAAAATAAGAGACAAGAAAAAGCTAGAGAAAAGAGCTTTGGCAAAAAGCGAAAATGCCCTGTCGGAGGGTCTGATAAAGAAAGAAAATCTTCCAAAGCGACAAAGTGTAATGGTTCTAATGTAACCTGTCCAAGTCTGTTGGATGCTACTATAGATCAAATAATTTCCTCCGAAAAATTGAATGGGGATACGGTAAACTTATACTTTGACTTCTTAGGAGAGAAGCTGTTCTGCGAGAACGAAAATATTTGCCTGGGAAGCTCCTATTTTTATCCTTCTTTGCAGCGACAAGATAACAGAGGAACGTATAGCAAATATATCGGAAAAAAGTCACTTTGGGAGTACGAAAACTTGATATTACCAGTTCATTTAGCCGATGAAAGGCACTGGATTCTTGTTTTAATCAGTGTCGTTAATTTGTGCATTTACATATACGACTCCGCTTACTGTTCTCAAGACACCTACAAAACTGTTTTCGGGACCATAAAAACCAAGTTTATCAGGCAGGAGCTTCAACACTTAAAGTCAGAAGATAGGGCACTCTTCCAGGAAGAAAACTGGGATGAAGAAATACCTAATTGTCCAAAACAAAAAAACCAAGAGGACTGTGGTGTGTTTACTTGCCTTTTCGCTAAACATCTGATTCTTTCAAACAACTTGGATGAAATAGAGCTTGACGATACGGATCCGCGAGGCGAAATAACTAATGATTTGCTGGCCTTGGCAACACCTGGAAACAAAGTTGCTTATCTCCCTCTCCCTTAAAATCTGCAATCATTCATCAGCAATGATCTCCATACCTCAATCCCCACCGAGGATCAGAAGGTTGCACTAGATCAAGAAGTTGCTAGTGCCGGATTAACTTATCGCCAGCCTCCCACACCTAAGGACGGCAACTGCTTGTTTCACGCAATGAGTGACCAGCTTACTAGAGTGGGAAGGCTCCCTCAAACACCATCAAAGCTTCGCTCAGATCTAGTGCGCTATCTTAAAAGTAATTCTACAACCCCGGATGGTGTTCACTTTCGGGAATTCATCAACCATGGTGGTTGGGACACCTACCTGCGAAGGATGTCAAGGGATGGCGAGTGGGGCGATTGGATTGCTTTGTGGGGGCTGGTGAACATGCTTAACCTTCCTGTAGCTTTGGTTTCCAGCTTAGGGGAGGGAGGATTACAAATTATCAATCCAGCCACAAATGGAGATGAAGGAGGGGACATTACAGTTATGGCCTTGCTTGGACATGAAGCAGAAGTTCATTACCATAGCCTGGAAGCCCTTCAGGACCCTGTTACGGAGATGAAAGTTAAATACGGAGAGGGAAAAGTCACCGAGGAGATCTGCCCAAAGTGTGGGAAAAAGTTTGCGTGCTATTCCCAAGGAGTATTTGAAGGGTTAAATGGCATGTTGCAAGTATACTCCGACGACAGCTTCTTTTGCGATAATTGCCAGATGTTAGAGGACTTTGATTATATGCCATGAAGAAGGACACGCTAATTCATAACTGCAGTCCATAACAAACATTGTATTACCTCAACGAACCTTTTGATATATAATTTCGTTTTGTTAGTGTTTAAAGCCCGAAAGAGTTTTTTCTAATAATATACAGACGGTTCGCAGTTCGAAACTATGACAAGGAATGCCAAGAAATGAACGATCACATTCACTGTGACAAAAATTATTATTTTCAAAAGTTGATAGTAAGTTTAGCCGATTAACTGATTATGAGAAAGTTCTTATCCATTTGGAAGTTAACTACAGTACGTTAAAGTCTACTGTTTTAAGCTTAATTTTGAAATAGTTACTAAACAAGACACTGCGATGCGTTTCAGCTGTGTTTCTTTGATTTAATGAACTTTTAATAACGGTATGTTGAAAGTTTATTTTTTGTTTGCTTTTATTTGAAAGAAATATTTTCATTTAGTTTTTATTTATGTAATTATTTGGGAAGCAAAATTTCGCTTTTAATGTTACTTTTTGTAATAATAATAATAAAATTTACACAATGATCCGCAAACTTGAGTCCAAGCCATTCCTATTTTTCTTTCGGGATCATTTGCGGTCGACTTTGGGGATCACTTGCGGTCGAGGATCATTTGCGGTCCATTTTGGGGATCATTTGCGGTCTCGGGATCATTTGCGGTTGGGGATCATTTGCGGTACTGTACAGTTCCTCCATACTGATATCTTATACAATAGGAACAATAGCCTTGCCTAGAATTGTCCGGTAAGTAACTTGAGNCTTTCGGGATCATTTGCGGTCGACTTTGGGGATCACTTGCGGTCGAGGATCATTTGCGGTCCATTTTGGGGATCATTTGCGGTCTCGGGATCATTTGCGGTTGGGGATCATTTGCGGTACTGTACAGTTCCTCCATACTGATATCTTATACAATAGGAACAATAGCCTTGCCTAGAATTGTCCGGTAAGTAACTTGAGCCCGGTTTGCTGGAACGGCCTATTCAGACAAAAATAGGAACAAGAGAAGCGATCACCTAGCAACACAAGAAACGGCTTATGTTTTCTATTACAATTTAAGCGCTTAAATTCGGATATATAAACAAAACACACACACAGAAAGTGGAGCTGAGAACTCTTTATTTCAATTTTGACTGACTACTACAAAACCGTTAGGTCTCAGCGCTTGGTGAGCTTATGGCCTTGTCATTTTCACTCGCTGTTAGTCTTTTAATTATATGCGAGTTAACAAGCCGATATTTGCATACAAAATGGCTCCACAGTAAAAACCCCAAGGGAGAACCTTGACTTATTATTATAAAAAGACACAAAAAATTTCTTAACTTAACAAGGATCAAGTGAAACACGCGCCTAATAAACGCTAGCAATAAAACCAGACAGGAGAAACCGTTTTAAAAACTTTATTGAGAACCAATGACAAAAACCGGTATAATACACAGCGAATTGTTGTCGAAGAATCTTGTGCACTTGATGTTAAGTCTGCAACAGTGGTGATTATTTCTTCCGGTTGTGTTCTTGAGTTCAATTGTTCTTTTAAAGCCAGATATCTTTTTTGCAACTGAAAGTATCGCCTATCTTTTTCATCGTCCCGAAGATTGTTTCCAGAAAGCACATCATCCACGTTGCCCTGTATTTCTTGCATAGCTAGAAGAAGCAGGACGGGAGAAAGATTTTGCTGCTTTAGGTATTTTAAAAGCTCTTAAGGTATATTTTCTTGATACCCTGCTTGGTTAAAGCCTTATTCACTGGACAGGAGGTTTGTTCGCAGTGGGCAATTATCTTGGGTAGTAGTTTTTAGATTAATCAGCAGATAAGCAAAAGGTCTTTTTATACGGCCTCCTTGTACTGATTTAAAAAGAAATCAGTTTTCCCGGGATACATTTGCTTTGCCAGAGTCAAGATTTGCAATGTGTCTCGTGGATTCTTGAATAGCACCAAATAAGTCATCTGATCGTCAAACACGATGAAATTCCGTTTGTTCACATCAAAATAGAAATCCTACTCCAAAGCCGTAGGAATTCCCTTGATAAATTCAATGTGTGGCATGGCGACTAGCATTTCTGTATACGCAGGACGCCATTGTGAATAACACCAAACGATCCTCTCTGGGGGAAGGTAAATTGCCTCTGAAGCTTGATGTAATAGAGATAGAACCCAGGCCGCTTTTCCGGACTTGGTCATTCCAGAAGTTTTGGAGGTGAAAGGATGCTCAAAGCGAAACCGCTGACATTTCTGTGAAGACATCGGAACTGTTTGAAATGGGGTGAGACCAGCATTGCGGTGTTTAGACATCGCATGCCTTTACATGCTACTCTTTCTACTAAACGATTTTTCGCAAACGGGACAGAACCAACCCACGTCAACTTCTCAGGAGCAGAATGTAGACTGAGAAAAAGGTAGAATGTTGCGCGTTTATATAGGTTTGGCAAGCCATGAAACCACATTTCTATTGCTTTCCTCGGCCTCCTCCACCACCACCACCACATTTCTGTTGTCAAGTTATTAACTGTTTTTTCTTTCGTTGTTGTTTTTATAATATGTCAAGGTTCTCTCTTGGGGTTTTTACTGTATAGCTGAGCCAATTTGTATGCAAATGTCGGCGTGTTAACTCGCTTAATTAACTGACTAACGGCGTGTGAAAATAACAAGGTCATAAGCTCACTAAGCGCTGAGAGTTAGTCGTCTCCTTGAGATAGAATACCTGAATTTTGTGCTTGAGTTTTGTTTATATCCTGTGTTTAGTCATGTTAATTTAAAGAAATAATTAAAGATTTTTCAGTTACACTCTGTAACGATAGCGTGTTCAACAACTGAGGTATCAAGGGAGGATGGAGGTCGGGCCGACTAATAAGCTGTGAGGGGTGTGTGAGATGTGAGTAAAACAGTTTTGGGTGGTGTGTGAAGAATTCTTGGGTCGTTTTACTGCAAGGGGTATGGGGTAAGGTATACTGAAAGTGAGGAAATTGTCAGTTAAGTTGATTAAAGACATCTTGGAACAATGAGCTGAAACTCGACAGTTGGAAGGAAAAAAAGCTGCATGGTCAATTTTATGAGGAATACCCGGAACAACACATGTAAGAAAACTTGGAGCTGGTTACGAAGAGCACACTCAAAGATTCAAACAGAAGCACTTATTTGTGCCGGCCAGGAACATGCTAACCGTGCGAATCCCCCTTATGTAGGTAATGTGGCGAGAGTGTAAAGCAAATTGTCTGTGAATGTAAAAGGTTAGCCCAAAGGGAATATAAACAGACACATGACAACATTGCAAAAGTAGTTCGTTGGAAGTTATGTGAGATATATCATCTGGGAAAGAAGGACAAGTGGTACGAACACGTGCCTGACAGTGTGAGTAAAAACGATGAAGTTAAACTACTGTGGGTTAACGAACATCCAATGTGATCATGTCATCGATGCTACAATAGACATGATCATGTGGTTGTAAACAAACAGGAGAGAGAGTGCGCCATTGTCGATATTGCTGTAGCAGGGGATAAGAGAATTGTTGAAAAGGAGAATGAGAAGGATATAAAATATCAGGAGCTTAAAAGAGAAATTTCAAGGATATGGAACATGAGAACTGTGCAGGAGATACAGATTGTTGTATGATCATTGGGAAGTGTGACAAAGAACTTGGATAAGTGGCTAGAAAAGTTGGACATTAGAATTAGTATTTCATTAATCTAAAAAACTACACTACTAGGAACAGCAAGGATTTTAAGGAAAGTATTATAGTTCTAGAGTAAGGAGGTGAAATCCAAGGGGACTTTGGTCAGGGATTATGACTCGCTCCCTTAGCAGGTAAATCGGTACGAGATCAGCCAGTGTACAAAGCAAGAAATGATTATAATAATAATAATAACAATAATAATAATAATAGTAATTTTAATGATAGTTGTAATACTTATATTGTTATTAATGGAAATAGGTCTGAGTGGAGTCAGAAGACCACAAAGCTGGAGTCCGATTTGTATAAAAATAAGTAACAATTAATCGTAACTGTACCAAAATTTGTGATAATTTCAGATTTTATGAAACTAAAACACAAGATCTTGTAAGAGTTTCATGCGGCTAGAAGAAAAATATAAATAACAACAACAAAAACCAAAAAAACGTCGAAGAGCGTTCGCGATGGAGTGATTATTGTACCATTACTTATGTATATATGACGAGTACTGGCTCCGCGCACTGTATCCCACTACACTGTTTTTATCATAATTAGAAGAGCGCTAGCATTTAGTAGTGGTAATAGGACTCAGATTAGAATCAATTCCGTCTGTAATCATCGGAGTCATAGAGAAAACTGTTTCTCAGTAGTCCTTTTGTGGTCGAACACTACATATAGAAAAAAAAGACAAGCTAAATAGTAGCATCTCCTGTTTTTCAGACGTTAACGAGTGTGCAACAGAAAAACACAACTGTGACAACAGCTCCAAATGCCATAACACCAAAGGATCCTTCCTATGTATCTGCAGGAGGCCAGAATATTTCGGCGTTAATTGCACCGGTAAATATAATGTACATTAAAATAGTAGATTCCTAAGCCTGTGATAAAAATGGCCACTGTGTAATTGGGGTCTATCAAATGGTGAAATCATGTTCATCATTGTCATCATTGGTATCCCGTTTATTTCCCCTTTTTCGTTGATAGCTATTTTAGAGAAGAAAAAAATCAACCAGAAAGGTTTGTTGAAGTCCTTTGGTTTCAATTTGATAAAAGCACATGAAGATTTGACATGATCTTTAAGGTCAAGTAATACGGGCAAAATGTTCTTTTAACTTGTTGCACAACATTGTTAGTTGCATTCCAAGTTCAAAAGCGTTTTTGCCCTTCGAGTTTAAGAGTGCAAATTAACGGTGCAGCCTTGTCTAAAATCAATCTGCCCGGTATTTTGGGCCATCGCTGTTTGATTTTGTGTTAAAATTAGTATTTATTATTTCAGTAGCTTCTAATACTGGTCTTATTTCGGTGGCGGAACACCGCGGTAGTATGTCTTTAAACTAAGAGGTTGCCAGTACAAACGATTCACGTGACTAAGTAAAAAAGCACCCCAAGCACCCCCTCCCCTCAATGGAGCTTTGCGGTCTCTAGGTTAAGGGAAGAAGCTGACGTTAAGACCGATAAGAAGTTTTTATTCAGACCTTCTTGTTCCATCTTAAGACATCAGATAGTTACAGCAGCAACGGAACATGTAAAACACTAGAAACCACTTATTTTTGCAATCGTTGAAGCCTTTATTTTACTCTCCTCCTATTTTTAGCGTTCATGGACTCAAACATATTGAAAACAAATTCTTCTTATTTCTACCATCTGGGAAAATTTCTGGAGCCAGCGGTTGGGAACAATTCTTACTGGCTACTGTGCTGGCGGGCTACATTGCACGGCTGGGATGTCCGTACACAGTTTCACAAACGCTGCGATGGAAAAAGAGACACAGTTACCATAATAAAAAATGGTAAATACGTTTTTGGAGGTTACACGGACATTCCTTGGGGTAAGAATATTGCTTGCTCAGTTCAAAAGCAAATAGTAATAAAACGTAAAGTTGAGCCAGGCCAGTCTTCTTAACTGTTTTTGCTGTTGTAAGAACTAGGGAGGCTGATTGTTACGTATTAACCATTCTGTAAAATTGCGGATATGTTGAATATCTATCCTCCCGGTTCCTGGCGAGAAAATACATGGACCATAGTATTGTTTCAAAGGTTAGCTAAGTTTTCTACACAGGCCACCAAACTGTGACTCCCACGGGCATTTTTGTCTGGTTTTTGGCAAAATAGGTATTCTTACTAACTCGAGTACGCTGATTTCGAAAATTACTGTTGCCAAGCTCAAGCTTGTGTTAAGGTGGAGTTTTAGGGCATTTCCTTATGACTTCACTGTGCAAATAAGGAGTTTTGTTTCCTTTCCCAATTTTAAATTTAATAGATCCAGAAATGGTTTCTAAGTGTTCTACGTATATTTTAAAGACCATTTAGAGAATTTATATAACGCTGTTTCTGCGAATTCGAGGCGTCACATGACAATTGACCACGCCCTTTGATATAAAATTCACACAATTATGGCTTAATATGTAATACTTATCGTGATAATTTCATTAAGATAATTAAATTTCATAGATCCAGAAATTGTTTCAAAGAGTTCTACGTATATTTTAAAGACCATTTAGAGAATTTATAAAACGCTGTTTCTGCGAATTTCGAGGCGTCACATGACACACCCCTTAATATAAAATTTACACAGTTATGGCTAAAGATGTGGTATTTATCGTGACAATTTTTTTAAGATAATTAAAAAGTATATTAAAATAAGCCATTCTTTGATTGCTCTAGCTCTTGGCAATTATTGCAAAACCTTCACATTCCTGCAATTTTCCTGTCACTAAATAAGTTACAAGACCAAGGCAACTTCGAAATTTGAGTAAGTTCAAATAGTTTAGGATAGGCAGACTGCTTAATAAAATGTAGGTGCATGGAGACACCTAAAAAGAATAGGAGCTGCAGCGATTCTCTCAGTACAGACACTGAGGAGTGGCTTTCCACAAGGACCGACGAGAGATGTGGAAAGTTGCTAGAAGCGCAAAGGCACGGAACAGTGTTTGTGATGAACAAAATAAAGAGACAATAAAAAGAGAAAGCGTAAGAGATGTAACCACTCCTAGGGCTTTCCACAAGTTGCTCGGCAACTTTTTGGCAACCTCTCGTACGTCGAGCAACTTCTCGAGTTATCTTCTAATTCTGAGACATCGGAGCAGCTCTAAGTGCTTCAAATTGCCCTTAAACCACTCATGAAACTATTTCAGAGTCATCCTGTCTACGATGGCACAGAAATTTGTTATCGTGACTTCATACAAAAAGTGAAAATTGAGCTTTTGAAGGAACAGGTATTAAATAATCCCCCCCAAACGCAGAAAAAAAAGTATTTGTTTTGACAACGAGGCGGCTTCCATTTCATTAAAAGGGCAAGTAGCACGAAGTAGTAGGAGAAGTGTCGCACCTGTACAATGGAGTCTATTCTGTACTTTGCCAAAAATCAAAACCCCGAGAGGTGCTCAAATCATTTACATTATTCAATGTGAGCAATTCATTTCCAGGAATTGAATCATCTTATCTGGATATAACCTGAATTTCAGACGATTACTTCGAGTCGTTTTTACTTGCTCAGTAACGTCTAAAACGACTGGCCGTTAATACCGTCCAGGGAGGTCACTACTCCTTTGCCTTAATTCATGCAAAAAGTAAAACACGATTTTCAACTGGCAAACAAAGAAATATCGTCTGGAAATGTCTACATGATACAGAAGTGCTTTACTCTTTTTGATCGTAATTCATGTTTAACATTTTAACTGTCAACTGCATGCAGTACTCTGAATGAATCTGTTGTAAGTTTAATTCAATTCTCAAACTCGATCGCAATCACGCAATTAAAAAACAAGCTTATTAAAATACACACACGGAACACTTCAAAAACACAACGATTTGCTTTAATTGAAAAGAAGCTATTTGGTCCTTAACGAAGAAGAAAGAAAACAAGAAAGAAAAGTTAAACAGAATCATTACACTTGACGGTAGAAATTACAAGACTTAAATCCCAGAAATTTTCGCTTTCGAATTTTTTTGAACTCCACCCAAACATGCCAGGCATCCGACCCGGCAATCCCGCTAAAATTTCTCATAACTATACATAATTCTGCGAATGTTTGGACAAGAATCAACCAATCAAACACTACCCGGTTTTCGGGTAGTGACGTTACACTGGACGGGATTAGCGGCCGGTCGATTCAGACGTTGCTAAAAGAGTAAAAAAGGACTCGAAGTAATCGTCTGAAATTCAGGCTAATCTGGATAATGCAATAAAATTCCGCCTAGCTCAGGTCAGCGATCTCATTGCTGCAAAAGGGCCGGGAAGGTACAAAAAGTGTCTAAGCGCTTAGTACCAGACTGGCAAAAAGAAAGAGGAATCTCAATAGGCAGTTGTCGTTATGATTTTATCTGCTTTGAGCTCGGCCACTATACTGCAGTGCGTAACCAAATACTCCAGCTATCTGACGTATGGCCAGGATATAATAAGCTAGCCCAAAAAACCAATACAAACATACCGCAGTCATCTATCAACAGGAAAGCATCATGAGAAAAGTTGGAGACTTGTTCGAATTCTTAAGCACTGATACGGGGGATTACATCATACAAGTTATGATGTACGCTCCTAGTTACTCAACGCTGTTAGTAGATCTACTGCACAAGGAGGGCCATATACAGCTACAACAGCCAAATCCTCAATTTGGACCCCTCACTGGCACAAGGTACAGTCTGTTCTTGAAAGAGATAAATGGCACCGTTGTCCTAACTGGTTCTAAACCCGGACAACTTCCTGATGCAGTTCACTGCTAATAACATTGACATCAACCATTCGTTACTAGGTGGAAAGGACACTTTCCACGCAACACAGGTACCTAGTTGGCAAAGAGGCCCAAATAAAACAAAGCATTTAGCAAGCTTGAGGCCCAAAGTGAATTGTGAAATTACTAGGATTCAACATTGCACAAGAAAAACAAAAAGTTGTATCTGTATTCCTAAGTACATTACCAAAAAATAATGGCTGTCTTTACACTAGGCTGTTAAGTAAGACTTAAGAGCTGCTAAGTTTTACTTAACCAAAAATTCGTGTGTGAAGGCCTAAGTAAAATCTCAAGTAACTTTACTTTGCATCTCATTAAAGTCGGAAAGTTGAAACGATTCAAGAAAGTTTCAAGCGACTTGAAAAGCATCCTTAAAACCGACTTAGCTGACTTGCGGTTACTCGCGCTTTCTTGGGGTGCTTACCATTTGAAAGAAGAATCTGGCTGGGGTGTCGAAAGCATAATGGTAAGCGATTTACCAGTTTACCGTAGAGTTGCCACATCCGTTACGGTTTGAATCCGGAGGGGGGGGCGAATGCGTCTGGAACCGAGAAATTGGTAGATGGTAAGCAACATTCCGTTTGGTTTGTACCAACTGGAATGAACGGACTACCTCAAAACGTACTCCTCAATTTTTGGTTGGAATTTCCGAAAAGTGACCTTACCATTTACCATCCATCCGGAATTTCCGAAATTCTCTGTCAAATGGTAAGCACCTTTGAGGTTTGAGAAAGGCGAAACACGTCAATCAATCGTAATTATGTTGCGTGGGAAAATAGCCTTAAGTTAACCTGAAGTAAAAAAGAATCGGTTGTGTGTGAAGCTTTATTTTACTTGAAGTAATTAAAATTTGCTGCTCTTGAAATATTTCTTAGCTTATTTAGGCTCTAGTGTAAAGACTACCAATGTGATAAATATACAAGTGATAAGGTGATTTTTCTATAAGAGGGCGTGGTCAAGTGTCACGTGATGGCTGTATGTTAATATAAGCAGCGTAAAAACAGTCAGAAATTCTTAGAATATAATTTTTAAAACACTAATAACGGTTTAAAAGAATTTCTGTCTCTTTTAAATTTGGAATTGTTAAAGGAGAGAAAACCCCTCATTTGGACAATGACGTCATAGTGAAAATCCCCAAACTCCACCTTAGCACAAGAACTGAGTTTGACAACAATGATTTTCAAAATCAGCGTACTCAAGCTAGTAAAAATACCTATGTTGCCAAAATCAGACATAAATGCCTGTGGGTGTCACATTTTGGTTTCCTGTGTACCCGACCAGACTATACCCGCGCAAAAAAGTGAAAACTACCGTATTATAATAACTCACAGCAATTTTTGCGGTAAAATCCTTTATAATTACCTGACGGCATACCCGTCGAATGGAGTATATTAGATACGTCGTCTTTACCCGCGGCGTTCTTCACCATCAGTAGGCCATGTCTGATTACAGGGTTATTAATTCTTTCATTTAAGTCCAATTCTTATTTCCTCAGTGGCACTTACCAAGGTAACATGTAGATTTAGCGAGGGCCAAAAACGAAGCTCTCATTTGATCTTTTAAGTAATGCCTTTGAAGAAAGCTGTAAACCTGAGGCTTCGATACGGACAGTTGTTAGCGGATACCCTATTTTGACAAGTGGATGTCTCATATCAAGTTAATCACAAATCGAATATACCTTAGATTAACGCTTATAATAAGTGAGTGTGACATACATGCGCTAATATGAAAGGGCGGACGTAAGGACGGAAGATTGTGTCACAATTAAAATTTCTTGAATGCATAGATAACCAAATTTTATTATCCATAGTGCCCGGCTGCTTGTGTTTCGCGAGCACGAGAGCCCCGCCGTTATACCTAATGTTTACCTACAATCCTTGTCACATTACGTTGGGACACCCCGTGCTGTACCCATTTCCTGACAAAAAAAATGTGCTCCTTCCCTCCCAGTGTTGTTGTTGTTTTTTTTTGCTCCTGTCATTCCAACTCGCAAAATCCAACATTAAGGGAGTAGAAAATACCACTACTGTCCCAGCTATTGTGACAAGTGCCGTAGGTATGTCAATTCTTGTACCTTGGTAAAACGATCAAGTCAAACAAGTCGACATCACGTGTTCTTATTTACATTGGATTATTACGGGATGAAAAGAAATGCTTTATTATTTTGTTTTTATTTCATTTATTTATTTCTGCCGCTAAAATTTATAACTTCGAGGAATCCATCTCCATTGGTTATTGTGTCTTGTTACATATTTTGCTTTTGTTGTTTTCACTTTGAGTTTTTTCGATCAAGTCAGTGTGTGTGAAGTTTCAGGTGGGGTACCCCCGTAAATTTCGGATAGATGTTTGTCTCCGAGGGCCTGAAGTACTGACCCTACTTGAGGATGAGAGAAACGAAAACTGATAACTTATTTAAGGGCGTGTTTCCGTAAAACCGACCAGTGATTTCGGATCAAAAAATTAATTTTTCTTGTATTCTAGGATATTTAAAGTCTTTACCTAATTAGTTACAAAAATGCATTTTGTTTGACCGGAAATGCGAAATAAATTTTTACGAATTTTTGAATTTTCGGCCGCGCTATAGCCTTTGAAACTGCAAAACTTGCCTACATTGCCGGCGCTACAGAAAACAAACAACTCGTTCAAGAAGCCCGATTTTCTTTTTAATATACGGATACACCTCCCGAATTATTTATTCATTTTAACGGCAAGAATCTTTTTCCTTGCACGTGTTATCAGTCTGCCATCAAAACCAAAAATAGCGCAACTTTGAGGGTAGTTTAAAAAAGTGTGGCACCTGTCTGAACGTTGCTATATGTATTAATACAAACTAGAAATGATAGTAAAACGTAAAAAGGAATAAAATTTTTCTGCTTTTCACGTTTTCGAATATGAGCACCGTTTGAATTTCCAGAAATTTCGAAGACAAGATAATCAACGAACACTTGCCTTGTTATTCTCCTCTTTTAACTTCGCTGTTTGTAATGTCCTTCTTGGTTTGTAGAGCCCGGATACTATTGTGCCTTAAGCAATCGCTTTTACTAAAATATTGGTTTTCTTATCATTTGTCCTCTAAGGGAATTTTTTGCCCTATTTGTGATAAAAGTAATGGTACTCGTTGCTGGTCGCGAGCGTAACACGGTTGTTTCGTGACATTCAAATTATTTCCGCTATTTGTTAGAGGTAATTGCCTTTGAATCGCCATACATCGATTAATTTACTTCTTCAGTTTAACGTAGATGCATTGAAAAAATTGGCTCAACACATTTTACCAGGATATGATTTATATCGTGTCGACAGACAGGACAAGAAAGGTGGTGGCGTTTGTGTTTATATTCTACAGAGTTACAAGACTGAAGTTCTTTGGGATATTTCTGGTATATCGGTTGCTGGTTTCCACCAGCTATGGATTAAGGTCCAAGTACGCAACCTTCGCTCTCTAGTTATCTGTACTGCTTACAGGCCGCCTGATGTACCAGTGAGATGCTTTGATACTGATTTGACTCCTAGCTTTATTGCTGCTTCTTTACACAACAAAACAATATACATTTTAGGGGATTTAAACTGTAACCTTTTAAATCTTGAAAACCCTGACTCCAGAGCTCTACTTGATTTTTGTCGCTTGTATAATCTATCTCAGATGGTTAAAACACCAACTCGAGTGACTCCTTCCACTGAAACACTTATAGATGTTATTTTGTCCTCAAACGAGCAACAAGTCCGGGAAACAATCGTGAAACCGTGCTCAATAAGCGATCACGATATTGTTTGCGCTACACTCCGCTTGAAAAATCAACGTCAAAAGCCAACTTATATTACAACAAGGTGCTTCAAACATTACCGGCCCGATCAATTTCTTGTTGACGTTTCGCAAGTACCCTGGTCCGTTTTGGACGTTTTTGATGATCCTGAAGATAAATTGAACGCGTTTAACCTATTATTCAACAATGTATTAGACGAACATGCACCCATCAAAACAGTCAAAATTCGTGGACGTCCCAACCCTTTTGTAACATGCGAAATTCGGGACCTTATGAGACTTAGAGATCATTGGAAGAAGGTAGCCCAAAAAAACAAAGATCCACATGCTTGGTCTGAATACAAAAACCTTTGTCGCGAAGTCAAACATGAAATAAGGACGGCTGAGAAAATATTCATCGCGGAGCAAGTTGTAAACAACAAAAACAACTCTAATTGCCTCTGGAGAGCAATCCGCTTGTGCATACCCAAGAAGTCCGCTTCTCAAAGGAATTATTCCAAAGATGACAAAATTGTTGCTGATGAATTTAATAATTTCTTTTCCTCTGTAGGAAAGAGTACCATCAATAGAATTACTAAATTGGCAGAGGAATCGAATTATACTCTTAATCAATGTTCATTTATTCCGAGAATCTACCCATTGTCAGAGCAGTTCACCTTCAACGCAGTGAAGTGCGAACAGGTACAAAAAATTGTCACATCAATGGCCAGTGGTAAGGCCCCTGGGATTGATAAAATCCCAATCCATGTGATCAAAGATTGTTTGCCTGCTATCTTGCCATCGTTAACGTCTATTATTAATGCTACCTTTGAGTTTGACACCTTCCCTTTGGCCTGGAAAACAGCTGAAGTGACACCGATACTCAAGGCTGGAGACCACGATATTCCAAACAATAATAGACCGATTTCATTACTCCCTGTCCTTTCTAAAGTCTGTGAACGTGTCGCTCACAATCAACTTACGTCATATCTACTTTCGAGAGGCCGTTTATCATCCAAACAAAGCGGAAATAAACAGTGGCATTCAACGGAAACATCTGTCATTCAAACAACTGACGAAATCCTAAATGCCATTGACAAAAAGAAACTGACTGCAGTTGTCCTCCTTGATCTAAGCAAAGCTTTCGACAGTATTGACCATCAAATACTCCTCGCTAAGTTACAGGACATTGGTGCGTCCAGACCTGCGATAAAATGGCTCGGAAGCTATTTAACCTCGCGATACCAATTTGTGCGAATAAATACAACTCTGTCGACCAAACTACCTGTTAGTTCTGGCGTTCCACAAGGGAGCATCCTTGGCCCATTACTCTTTAACATCTACGTTAATGATCTCCCTTCTGTGCCAGAAAATTGTACATCGCAGTGTTACGTCGACGATACCAAACTTCTCATGTCATTTCAACTCCGCGATCAGCACGAAACGATAGAAAAAATGAACAAGGACTTGTTAAGCATTAGGAATTGGTGCTTTGATAATCAGCTTTTACTCAACCCAGATAAAACAAAACTAGTGATATTCGGCAGCCGGCAAATGACTGCTAAGGTTAGCGACTTTAGGCTATTTCTATTGGGGAAGGAACTCGAGCCCGTTAAGGCTGCAAGAGACCTTGGTGTCACACTGGACTCTAACTTAACATATAATGAGCATATTGTTTCTACTGTATCCTCATGCATGTCACGTTTGGGTCAAATTAACCGCGTTAAGCATATTTTTAATAAACACGCGCTAATTATTATTATAAATGCCTTAGTTTTTAGTAAATTATTCTATTGCTCTTCTGTTTGGAGCAATACTACTCAAACTAATCTGGACAAGCTCCAAGCAGTACAGAATTTCGCTTGTCGTATTTTGAGCGGCGCTAAAAAATTCGATCACATAACTCCTTTGCTAAAAGACTTGCGCTGGCTACCAATCAGGCAACAACTTTATTTTCGTTTTGCTGTTCTGGTTTTTAAGTGCATGACGAGTTGTGCTCCGGAGTATTTGACATCAAAGCTCGTTGGAAGATCCGCCGTCTCGACAAGGAATACGAGAAATTCTCAACTTTTGAACATACCACTCTTCCGCACTGCCAGCGGCCAAAGGACCTTTCAATATAGAGCAACCTCTCTCTGGAATGAGTTGCAGCCTGCGCTCAACCTTAGCCCATCCGTGACGGAATTCAAGTGTTTACTCAGGCAAAAGCTTCTTAATGACTGCTTTATTTAATTAATTTAATTAATTTTATTGACCTTTGTCTTCTTTTATCATTGTTATATTCTTATTGTCATGTACTTGGTTTATAATTTTGTAATGTAAATTGACTCTGAAAAGCCCCGTGGGGACGAGCCAATAAAGTATGTATGTATGTATGTAGAAGAAAATTGAGAATCCACTAAAACGCTACCAAGAGAGAATGAGGTGACGCTACAAAAGTTCGTTCCAGGCCCCACTGTTTTTCGAAAAAATCATTGGACAAGATTAAGACGTCGAGGATTTTTTTAAAACGTTTCTACGTGATTATGTATAGGTAATGAAACCCAATAAAACCAATAAAAAAGTGTACAGCTCTTTAAAATGATTCACAAGGGCAAGGGCTAACGTACCTGGGCCGTGGCCACGAAACGTGAACTCTTGCCCTCATTACTTACCACATAATTATGCATCCGAAGAGCTCATTTAGTTTTTGTAGCTTTTCCATCGGGTAGCGGTAAGCATTAAGATTAAGAACCTGGGTCTTAAGGTTCCTTGTTAGTGCATATTTTTTTTGCCTACAAAAGAACAAGCAAGTCACTGGAAGGATTTTTGTTGTTTCGATCTGACCATGGAGCGCATGATCTAAATCGTTGATACCCAGCGTTTGGCCCTATTACTTCAGCAATGCATATTTCTTTTTCCATGTCTGTTCCCTCATTCATTCTTATCCATCTCGTTGCTGTTCTAATTTAAGTAATGACGACCTACTTTCTTAGAGGCCAGGTCTGAAAACAGGTATGGATTTAAGAGGCCAGGTCTGAAAAACGATGTCAACCTGAAATGACCTTTTTTGGTCTGAAAAAGGGTCCGGGCGGCACACCCCCAACAAGAATTCCAGGAGTACCCCCCGGGATAACATGTACTTCCGCGCTAATGTGGATCACCACTAAAAAGGTTTTACTTCATTCTATACGTATTTACGACAGACATGCCAGTGACTGCAGACTGTGGCTCAATCCAGGTGCGATGGGTATACCACGGGTAGTTTCTGAGCAGTGATGTGCATAAGGCTTCAAAATTATTTGTAATACCAATTACCGATTGAATAGAAATTTTTGTAATGCTACAATACATTGTCTCTTCATCTGTTCTTCTGTACATTTGCTCCCAGAGTAATTTCCTCTGGCCAATTGCAATGCTTATTTTCCCCAAATTTTTGTTTTTGCTTCTTGACCGAAGTACTGCAAATAGCTGTATCACGACAATGACGAGCTTGACTTTCGACTCATATCGACTCATAGCAGAGAAGTACTTTTTCGGACCAACACAATCGCGACTTTCACTGATTATGACTGGTTGACTGACAAATGGCAAAATAAACTCAAAACAGTCTTATTCCCTAGTAGGATTCGAGGTCTCGAAAAATACTTTTAGAATAAAAATTGATTTTATCAAGTAAAATTGTCAAATTTCCGCGTTGTTACCTGAGTCTCGTTCATCTTCTCTACTAAAAGCGAAATGTCTATTAATATTAAATTGACTTTCAAGAATACTAGAAATCTGGATGCAGAAAAAATAAATAATTTGTAAAAACCTTCCGTGCACATTTTACATAAAGCAAAAATCCAGAACTACTTTACAAAATAAACTAGCCTGCGTAGAATGGCGGTCTTGTCGCGCGAAGCTCGCACGAACGAGCATTGCTCCCGCCCCAATCTCCTCGTGGTTTCATAGCCCATAAGCTTGTACTGCGCGCAAGACCAAAACTACGCAGGCTAATAATATAACCGGAAAATCAAACACGTAATGGAACAATTCCTTTTAAAGGTTTAAGGAAAAAGTTCAAGAGTTATTCTTTCGACCTTCTCTTTATGTAAAATTGGATGTACAGTCTCTTAGACAACTCAGTCGGCACAGGTTATCGCCTCCTGATCAGCATTAAGAATACTATGACATTTACTATGACTTGAAGAGTAGTTTTGTTTTCAACTGAAAGGTAAAAAGCTAAGTCCTTTCCTCGAAAGAGACATGACTATCTTCGAACCAAACCTGAGCCCTATACCCACCCTTCTAAACCCCCATTAATGCTCCTTGTTATGGGTATTTACAGCTACTTAAAGCTGCACGAAAAGGAGAGAAGTCGAAAAAAGGGATTGGAGGTCACATTTGGGGATCGGCCTTTAGACTTCTCCTATAGAAGGCCACGCAATAACCAACTGTACCAATCCTTTCTCCTCAAAAGCAAGTGAAAACGCAAAGTAGCGCAGTAGAAAGCCTACCGGACCGAGTGGGACTTGTGTTTCCAAAAATTGAGTGATGTTACATGATCATTTTTTAGCTTTTTGTTGCTCGTAAAAAAAAAAGATGTTGACACGTCTTTAAAGGGCGACAGTTTCGAGCCAGTTGCAGCCCAAATAATGATCAATTATGTCTCACACGTACAAACAGACCCGCCCTGACGAATATGAGTTCGTATTTTAAGTGGTTCGTTATATCTTTTCTTTCTTTCTGCAACGTACATACTGAATATGTCTAACGTCGAAAATCTATACGAGTAGATTTTCCCAAGGCCACAGCAGACAGTCGGTCTGTACACTCCTTCGCTATGGTAAAAAGAACAACAGCAACAACAGCTCGTTATTAAGGACAGTTTGCTTTGTCCCTTGGGAAAGAAAATCCTTACATTTTCTCTAAATTCACCCCGAGATGGTCCTAAGATCTTTATTTTGCGTTAAAGATACAAAAGTAGAGGTTTATTAATATTTAACTCTTTGAAACAAAAGGAATTAATTTTTAACATTTTTGTTAACTGTAACTAAAAAAAATTAACCGAAAGCCGTAAAAGAGCCAAAATTTTAGCCGAAAGCCGTAAAAGCCACCTCCCCATTGAGACCCTCTTGTCTGCTTCGTGTCCAGTACACGAGGACTGGGCTTGAAATACAAAGTCGCGCATACAACTACGCATACGTATTTCAAATAGATAACTGGGCTAAATTGCTTTCTTAGCGTCTTATCGCGTCACATTTGCAAAGAAATTAGTTTTATTTGCCCAAGAAATTTTACTGCCATATCTTGAGGAGTCGATCCTAAAGAAAAATTATTTTTAGCAAAGACCTCGAGGTCAGGTGTCACAAACCAGTCACGCTCGCACATACGACCATTTTACAAAACGGTTTACAAACCAGATAACATTGCAACAAAACAAGTATAACCACGGAATCAACGGCCAATATAGTTTCAGACGATTAAGAAATAACCTTAAAATGAAAAAGAACTAAGGTAAAATCCATCAAGCCATCAAGTGAAGTTGACTTTCACGAGCAAAGCACAAGGCAAGTGTTCGTTAATTATAAGGTCTTCAAAATTTCTGGAAATTCAAACGGCGGACATATTCGAAAACGTAAAAAAAAAAAAAACTTTTATTCCTTTTTACGTTTTACTATCATTTCTAGTTTGTATTAATACAGATAGCAACGTTCAGACGGGTGCCACACTTTTTTAAACTCCCCTCAAAGTTGAGCTATTTTCGTGTTTTGATGGAAGGCTGATGACACGTGCCAGGAAAAAGATTCTTGCCGTTAAAATGAATAAATAATTCGGAACTGTGATATGGCTAGGACATCTAGAGTGGTGTATCCGCATACATGTTTTAAAAAGAAAATCGGGCTTCTTGAACGAGTTGTTTGTTTTCTGTAGCGCCGGCAATGTAGGCGATTTTTGTAGTTTCAAAGGCTATATTGCGTCGGTGCTAGCCGGCCGAAAATTCAAAAATTCGTAAAAAATTATATTTCGCATTTTCGGTCAAAAAAAATGCATTTTTGTACCTAATTATGTAAAGACTTTAATATTCCAAAATATAAAGGAAATTAATTTTTTGATCCGAAATCACTGGTCGGTTCTTACGGAGACGCGCTCTTCAGAGGCACACCCCTACAAAATGAGACCCAATCACAAGGAAAAGAACACAAACTAAGAATTTAAAGGCAACACATACCCTGCTTGATCAGAAGGCCTTTTCGTACATTAATTGTCAGTCACACGCGAAGAAAACAGCGTGAGTAAAGAAACGCCGAAAAAGTCTTCATTAAGTCGCTTTCATGATACTCTAGGGTAAAGTTCAGCTAACAGAACATTTTTTTTTTCTCGACGCGTGTTGTTTTTTAATACAAAATGCGGCTGCTTTTTAAAAATATTTCTCTAACTAAAAAAGTAGAATTTACACTTAGTAGTAAAATAATTCAAGCTGCTTGTTTGTTTTTGTTTTCTGGCTCTGTTAGCAAATTATGCTTTGATCGTATAATAATCAATTTTGCTTCAAAACTCATCGACGTGCAATCAATTTTTTCGTTTTCATTTTATAAGTCATATCACAAGTAAATTCTTTTTTTGAATGCGAATCTGCCCTCCTGAAAAAAAAAATTCGTTCCAACTAAACGCTCCGTTAAGAAGGGGAGAAAAAACCCACTTGGAAATTTTTTAACATCAGTGAAATTCTTGAATCGATGAAATTATATCAACATGTAATTGACTAGAGGTGAGCACTTATTTTAAATACGCTAACCTGTTTAAGATTCCATTTTCCTGTTTGTCGGGGCTTTCCCTGCTGTCTCTAACCGTATTCTGAGTCATGTTATTTCTTATTAGGGGATAAAAAGGTCGTCAGACCGTGTTTCTAGACTTCGTAAACCTTAAAACTGACATAATTGTCGTGCGCACTTCTCTTTCGCTGTGGAGCTCGATAGGCTGGACACGATTTTCCGAGTGACTCAATATATTTTGGCACAACTTGGGCACAGATTAGGCACAGTTTGGGCACAACTTAGGCACGGCTTAGGCACGTTTTTCAAAACTGAAATGCACACTTTATGCACATCTTAGGCACATTTTAGGCACAAAATCTTTGTGCCAAAGCACACTCTAGAATCCGATTTTCGGTTCAACGCTCGGTTTACGAATTTTCACGCTAAATAAGCTTTCTAACCTTAGATATTTGATCTTAGCGTAAAAAATGGGTTTCCCGAAGTCTTAACAGTTAGTCTATAAGGAAGGTTTAACTTATGAGCATTCCAAAAATTATTATTTCTTCTCTTAACAACAAAAGAAACTCAATCAAAAGCAAGCTTTTAAATTGACGTTCGCGCTGCACAGAGATCGGATGTAGACAGAACATCTTTCTGAAAACGCCCTAAACTTTTTTGTTTTGCCATTATGTTCAGGAATTTTTAATACAGTTAGTACTCATAAGTCACTGACCTCTGTGGAGAAATTTTTCCCAAGTACCATTACAGAAACAGAGAAATCCCACAATATGCGTGGTTAGACTGTAAATGTTACGCGAGCTGTTAAGAAATGGTCCTATTTTGAGCCATATTTTTCATATTTTAAATTTATTTTGGTCTTACAGCTAGAAAAAAAATATTCAATGAAAAGCTTTTTATAAACTTTAACTTCTTGCCAAATATCGATGCGATCTGTGTTTTAATAAGTTCATAAGAGCCAAACGATGTGAGATTCTTAACCGTGTACACCAGTAGCGTGCGCCAGGCCTTAAAGGCAACACATACCCTGCGTGATCAGAAGGCCTTTTCGTACATTAATTGTCAGTCACACGCGAAGAAGAGAGAGTGAGTAAAGAAACGCCGAGAAAGTCTTCATTAAGTAGCTTTCATGATACTCTAAGGTAAAGTTCAGCTAACAGACCATTTTTTTTCTCGTGTGCCTGGGCATTTATACCTGTAGACTCTTGAATGTTAACCAATTGATAACGGCGGGAACACAACACTAACAAGGGAAAAATTGATTCAGTATGGAAGAATAAGACCCTCAAATACCATACTTTTTCGGGCGTCACATACCTATCTGGCCAAAATATGGGAGTACCCCACTCCTCCCCCCTCCCAACCCTCCAAGGAGTCAAGTTGAAGTTTAGTAAATTGAATCTAGTTTAACACCTACTACAGCTATAATCATTTCTGCACAAAAAAGGTATCAAACTTGTTGTGATCCCGGAATCGGTTCAATGAGGCGCTGTTGGGAAGGGGGAGGGTAGGGGGAGGGGGTTCTTATCCCTTATCCTTGTAAATCTAAGAGGAGATATCCCTTATCCCTAAACGTTGTAAGAACGTTACTACTAAAAGTCAGGGAACACGCAGGGGGAGGTGTTGGGGGAAAAACTTGCCCCTTTCCCCGCACTTTTTGTGGGAAAGAAAATAAAAAACTTTTGTAGTTACATTCATGTTAAAATTAAAGAAGGTATAACTGTAGCTGAAAAGATGCAATAGTCATTGTGATTGTTATGGCATTGCAAAGGCTCGATTAATCCGTTTCCAGAGGCGACTTTTTACGCGTGTAATATAAACCAGCGGCGATTTCACAAAGACTCTTCTCGAGTGCTAACAAAAACACAATAACCATGCAGCCGTTGTCTCGTGGGTTTTGCGAATATAGTAAAATGGGTTTTCTTGGCGGCAAAGATATTCCCACCTTATTATCCAGCTTGCGATCCTATAACCAATAAAAGTAAAGGGGAGAAAAATAAGTGTAGATCATAGTTAATGTAAAACCATGATGAACTTTCATTACTCCCTAAAACAATTCAATTATCTCCAAAATTATTTTCTCAATTATCCCTTACTGGTTCCCTTATCCCTAAGGAAAAGGTCTGAAAGGTTAGTTACATCACATGTCAATGCAAATAAGAAATGCATTATCATTGGCGTATATCATATATCATCTCTGTATATCTGTCTTTAAACACTATGTCCATCTTCATAACTAACTGTAAGGAATAGCAATACAATAAACAAAGGGAGGAAAATAAGGAAAAAAAGGAAAGTTGAAAAAAATGTGTGATTCCATTTCACTCATGGTTCTTATTAAATTTGTTTTGTTTTAGTTTATGATAATTCTTTTAAAGTCGAGAATAAAAATACATAAATAAATAAAATTCAAACTAAGGAAAATGCACTAGAAAATAACTACACCACAGTGTTTACTCAAAAGTTAATACTTACGTTTTGTTGGTTTGTTAGAGTCCAGTGGTGGCTTTGGCTACACTCGCAAGGCTTTTATTTTTTCAATTAGCAATAAAGAAGAACTGGATCCCTTTGTGAGTGAGGTGAGGGAGCCAGACTGGGCAATTGTCAGGTGGTCAAGGTATGGTCCAGGGTTTGGTTATGACATCTACATAAATAATGATGCCAACAATAACAACAACTCACACGTAAGCCTTGGCAGGCACTACCCTGCTCCTGCTGCAGTGCAGGACCCAAACACAATCCTGGCCGGGACTTTCCGCTTCTCACCTGATGAGGTGGAGGTATTTTATCTTGACCCTACTCAATAAATATAAAAAGAACCATTTCATTATTTACGGCCAAAAAACATGCAGCTATATTAACATACTTACTACCTTCAAAAAAATGTACATCCCAATGTATATTTCTCGACAACGTAGAAAATCTTTCTTTCTTTGTTTTCTTGATCTTTGTTAAACACGAGACAGGAATATAGTCCTTGCTTATTTAAGTTTTTTTTTACGTTATCTTATTTTTAGCCAAGGAAATTAAGTAAAATTGATAATGAATTTTTTGATTCCCGCAAATTACTATTTTACTGGAGTAATTAAGCTTTAATTTCATTATAACTTTAATAGTTTTTCCATTTTTTGATTTTAAAAAAGGCACTTTTTTCCCCAGCCCGAGCCACCTGTCTAGAAACAGCGAATTTCGACTGAAATTAGCACACAAAAAACCCAATGAAAACGTGAACCTGCGCTGTTATAAGATTATAACAAAAGAACTCACGTCAGCCTACGTCAATTTAATAAAACTTTTACAACTGCTGTGAAGTATTTTAATAGTTATTTTTAAGATTTGAATTTCTTCTATGTTTCGTTTTTCTGTTATTAGGTGAGTCAAGGTTAGTTTGGATTTGGTGCGCATATAGGCATTTTCCTTTTTTTATTTTGTGATTTTCAGACTTCAACTTGAATGTTTGCTTAGCTCGCGGATTTACTTAATGCCATTTTTAATTAGGAATATTGTTCTCTTGCCATTGTGGGATGTTAGTTTTTCATAGGTGGTCCTGTTTTTCATGTCAGAGCTGACCTTGGTTCATTCATAGTCTCGTTGAAGTTCCTGTTTGGGTTTGTTAACCAGCGTTTTAGTTATATATTGGCTTGTAGCTTCTTGTAAATCGCAGCCATGTAGGTTCAGTAATACCAAAACATTGCCCACACGGCCGCGAGTTTATCTTGTTTTTATTCCTACGGTCAGTTACCCAAACATGTCCAGCTTTGACTATAATAACCGCTACTACACTTGAACTACTCATTCACCGCCGAGTAGGAATTGAGTAGAGAAGAGGAGTTAGAAGATTAAGATTAAGATTGTTAGAAAAAGTCAAAAAACAGTAAACACGATGGTCGGTTGCTAGGGCTTTTCCTCCCGCAACTTCGTAAATTCAATTTTTGGCTCACAGAGCAGTATTTTATATTCCAGATGAAGCAAGACATTAAAACATCTTAATTAGAGAAAAATTTTCTCCAAAATTTTACCATTGTAAAGGTATTTTTGACGTTTCTTGAAAGTATGACGTCATAAGTGACGCCTATTTTTAGTAACAACATTAAAAACTTGCAAAGCAGTGTTCAAAACATTACAAAAATTTTTGCTACACAAAAAGAATATTTATAGTGAAAACCCCATCCCAATCGGATAAAATGGCGTCAAGTTACAGCTAATAAAAGAAATCAAATTTTCCCCCACATGACCATATATGGTCAAAATTAGGGGGATTTTAAACGCGAAAGCAATGAATGTATTGTCACAGGAGCAAGGAAAAAGTTGCATAAAATCAAAATTGTAGTTTTTTCTACTTACTTTTTTTTACTTATGTGCTGCTATGACGCGTTTTCGTCACGAAATACGTCATTGTGACGTCAAAATGACGTATTTCGTGACGAAAAACGTGTCATAGCATCACATACCCTAAGTAGAAAAAACTACAATTTTGATTTTATGTAACTTTGTCCTTGCTCCTGTTCCAATACATTCAATGTTCTCGCGTTTAAAATACCCCTAATTTTGACCATATATGGTCATTTAGGAGAAATTTGAATTTCTTTAATTAGCTGTAACTTTGCTCCTTTTTATCCGATTGAGATGGGGTTTTCACTAGAAATCACAGAATTCTATACAGAAAACCAACGTAAAATTTTTACCATTTCTTTCCTGAATTTTTGTTCGGATCCCAAATTTGGACATCATTTATGACGTCACAACAGAAGTCACATGGGATGAAAGAAAAACCAATAAACAGATATTTTATCAAACTACTTCCCTGCCAAGTTTCGTCACATTCAATGCATTCTACTTCTGTCTATGGCCTAAAACTCTCAGTTTTGAGAGGCATTTGGGAGGAAAAGCCCTAGCAACCGACCACCGTGTAAACAGGAGCACCCAACGACAATTTTCGGAAAATATCTGTTCGGAAGAAGATTTGAGATCTAGAATTTTCGGAACATTTGTTGTAAAATTTGTTGCTTGCCTGCCTCTCCTCGGATTTTCGAACATCTAAAAAATGGTATATTTGCCCATTTTAAAAGGATTTTTACCTTTAAAAGGTCAACTAGAATTTTCGGGAGCCTTTTTTCTGGCTGAAATTTTCGAAAAGGTAAGTTTTGATCCCTATAATTTTCGGATCACTAGACTTTCGGCTAGGAAATCCGAACAGATGAAAAATATTTAGGGGATCAAAATATGCCTATATCTACCGTTTAAATACTAAAATACGTTTAACAATGGTATGTTTAAGTGGTTTTAAACTATATTCTCGTTGGGTGCCCCTGAGTAAAGAACAATATAAATCAGACTCCTGGTACCTCATGGCTATAAAGCGAACGAGTTGCTCGAACACACCCCCGACTCGAAAATCCCCATGAAAATCTTTTTGCATTACAACTTAAAAACGCTCCCGTCAAATGCAAAATCTTCTTTTATTCTTTTCACTTTAGCATTCATAGAAGATTGTAGTGAAAGTCAGTCCCGGTGCATGTCTGCCGTGTTTAAGACACTGATATATACATTGACATTCTTTATTTAGACATGCAGTTAAAAATTTAACGCCAGTTTTAAAAAAAGATTTTTAGTTTTAATTAAATAATCAGTCAACGGATGACAAGCAACGGATGACAAGGATGGACATGGACTGGCCATGGACGCTAAATAGATTTCTATCTTTATACTATTTGCTCTTTTAAAAGTTTTTGATGGCGTGGACCACAATATTCTCCTGCCCAAGATCTCATACCTGGGTGCTGGTTCGCAAGTTACATGTACCAGGAGCCCATCATGTACCTATCTAACTGATCACAATATCCATGTATTGATCACGCATTTTTACAATGTGGTGATGATATATTAGAGTACAGACACATGATGAATGAAGTGGAGACTTGCTTTTCTATTTTTTGTTCAACATGGACGCGATTTTGAAATTGTTTGCAGTTCGTTTGAAGCAAGTGAAAGCCTTCTAAAAATGGCTTACTAGGAGCTGTTTATAGATAAGGAAAAAACCTGTTTAAGATTCCATTTTCCTGTTTGTCGGGGCTTTCCCTGCTGTCTCTAACCGTATTCTGAGTCATGTTATTTCTTATTAGGGGATAAAAAGGTCGTCAGACCGTGTTTCTAGACTTCGTAAACCTTAAAACTGACATAATTGTCGTGCGCACTTCTCTTTCGCTGTGGAGCTCGATAGGCTGGACACGATTTTCCGAGTGACTCAATATATTTTGGCACAACTTGGGCACAGATTAGGCACAGTTTGGGCACAACTTAGGCACGGCTTAGGCACGTTTTTCAAAACTGAAATGCACACTTTATGCACATCTTAGGCACATTTTAGGCACAAAATCTTTGTGCCAAAGCACACTCTAGAATCCGATTTTCGGTTCAACGCTCGGTTTACGAATTTTCACGCTAAATAAGCTTTCTAACCTTAGATATTTGATCTTAGCGTAAAAAATGGGTTTCCCGAAGTCTTAACAGTTAGTCTATAAGGAAGGTTTAACTTATGAGCATTCCAAAAATTATTATTTCTTCTCTTAACAACAAAAGAAACTCAATCAAAAGCAAGCTTTTAAATTGACGTTCGCGCTGCACAGAGATCGGATGTAGACAGAACATCTTTCTGAAAACGCCCTAAACTTTTTTGTTTTGCCATTATGTTCAGGAATTTTTAATACAGTTAGTACTCATAAGTCACTGACCTCTGTGGAGAAATTTTTCCAAAGTACCATTAACAGAAACAGAGAAATCCCACAATATGCGTGGTTAGACTGTAAATGTTACGCGAGCTGTTAAGAAATGGTCCTATTTTGAGCCATATTTTTCATATTTTAATTTTATTTTGGTCTTACAGCCAGAAAAAAAATATTCAATGAAAAGCTTTTTGTAAACTTTAACTTCTTGCCAAATATCGATGCGATCTGAGTTTTAATAAGTTCATAAGAGCCAAACGATGTGAGATTCTTAGCCGTGTACACAAGTAGCGTGCGCCAGGCCTTAAAGGCAACACATACCCTGCGTGATCAGAAGGCCTTTTCGTACATTAATTGTCAGTCACACGCGAAGAAAAGAGCGTGAGTAAAGAAACGCCGAAAAAGTCTTCATTAAGTCGCTTTCATGATACTCTAAGGTAAAGTTCAGCTAACAGACCATTTTTTTTCTCGTGTACCTGGGCATTTATACCTGTAGACTCTTGAATGTTAACCAATTGATAACGGCGGGAACACAACACTAACAAGGGAAAAATGATTCAGTATGGAAGAATAAGACCCTCAAATACCATACTTTTTCGGGCGTCACATACCTATCTGGCCAAAATATGGGAGTACCCCACTCCTCCCCCCTCCCAACCCTCCAAGGAGTCAAGTTGAAGTTTAGTAAATTGAATCAAGTTTAATACCTACTACAGCTATAATCATTTCTGCGCAAAAAAGGTATCAAACTTGTTGTGATCCCGGAATCGGTTCAATGAGGCCCTGTTGGGAAGGGGGAGGGTAGGGGGAGGGGGTTCTTATCCCTTATCCTTGTAAATCTAAGAGGGGATATCCCTTATCCCTAAACGTTGTAAAAACTTTACTACTAAAAGTCAGGGAACACGCAGGGGGAGGTGTTGGGGAAAAAACTTGCCCCTTTCCCCGCACTTTTTGTGGGAAAGAAAATAAAATGTTTGCCACAAATTTTTGTAGTTACATTCATGTTAAAATTAAAGAAGGTATAACTGTAGCTGAAAAGATGCAATAGTCATTGTGATTGTTATGGCATTGCAAAGGCTCGATTAATCCGTTTCCAGAGGCGACTTTTTACGCGTGTAAACAAGCGGCGATTTCACAAAGACTCTTCTCGAGTGCTAACAAAAACACAATAACCATGCAGCCGTTGTCTCGTGGGTTTTGTGAATATAGTAAAATGGGTTTTCTTGGCGGCAAAGATATTCCCACCTTATTATCCAGCTTGCGATCCTATAACCAATAAAAGTAAAGGGGAGAAAAATAAGTGTAGATCATAATTAATGTCGAACCATGATGAACTTTCATTACTCCCTAAAACAATTCAATTATCTCCAAAATTATTTTCTCAATTATCCCTTACTGGTTCCCTTATCCCTAAGGAAAAGGTCTGAAAGGTTAGTTACATCACATGTCAATGCAAATAAGAAATGCATTATCATTGGCGTATATCATATATCATCTCTGTATATCTGTCTTTAAAGACTATGTCCATTTTCATAACTAACTGTAAGGAATAGCAATACAATAAACAAAGGGAGGAAAATAAGAAAAAAAAGGAAAGTTGAAAAAAATGTGTGATTCCATTTCACTCATGGTTCTTATTAAATTTGTTTTGTTTTAGTTTATGATAATTCATTTAAAGTCAAGAATAAAAATAAAAATAAATAAATAAATTCAAACTAAGGAAAATACACTACAGAGTAACTACACCACAGTGTTTACTCAAAAGTTAATACTTACGTTTTGTTGGTTTGTTAGAGTCCAGTGGTTTGTATGGCTTCACTCGCAAGGCGTTTATATTTTCAATTAGCAATAAGGAAGAACTGGATCCCTTTGTGAGTGAGGTGAGGAGGCCAGACAGGGCAATTGGCAGGTGGTCACGGTATGGTCCAAGGTTTGGTTATGACATCTACATTGCTAATAATGCCAACAGTAACAACAACTCATACGCAAGCCTTGGCTGGGTCTACCCTGCTCCTGCTGCAGTGCAGAACCCAAACACAATCCTGGCCGGGACTGCGCGCTTCTCACCTGATGAGGTGGAGGTATTTTATCTTGACCCTACTCAATAAATATAAAAAGAACCATTTCATTAACTACGGCCATAAAACATGCAGCTATATTAACATACTTACTACATTAAAAAAATATAATTCCCAATGTATATTTCTCGACAACGTAGAAAATCTTTCTTTCTTTATTTTCTTGATCTTAATTTGTTAAACACGAGACAGGAATATAGTTCTTGCTTATTTAAGTGTTTTTTTTTTACGTCATTTTATTTTTAGTCAAGGAAAGTAAAACTGATAATGAGTTTTGTGATTTCCGTAAATTACTATTTTACTGGAGTAATTAAGCTTTAATTTCATTATAACTTTAATAGTTTTTCCATTTTTTGATTTTAAAAAAGGCACTTTTTTCCCCAGCCCGAGCCACCTGTCTAGAAACAGCGAATTTCGACTGAAATTAGCACACAAAAAACCCAATGAAAACGTGAACCTGCGCTGTTATAAGATTATAACAAAAGAACTCACGTCAGCCTACGTCAATTTAATAAAACTTTTACAACTGCTGTGAAGTATTTTAATAGTTATTTTTAAGATTTGAATTTCTTCTATGTTTCGTTTTTCTGTTATTAGGTGAGTCAAGGTTAGTTTGGATTTGGTGCGCATATAGGCATTTTCCTTTTTTTATTTTGTGATTTTCAGACTTCAACTTGAATGTTTGCTTAGCTCGCGGATTTACTTAATGCCATTTTTAATTAGGAATATTGTTCTCTTGCCATTGTGGGATGTTAGTTTTTCATAGGTGGTCCTGTTTTTCATGTCAGAGCTGACCTTGGTTCATTCATAGTCTCGTTGAAGTTCCTGTTTGGGTTTGTTAACCAGCGTTTTAGTTATATATTGGCTTGTAGCTTCTTGTAAATCGCAGCCATGTAGGTTCAGTAATACCAAAACATTGCCCACACGGCCGCGAGTTTATCTTGTTTTTATTCCTACGGTCAGTTACCCAAACATGTCCAGCTTTGACTATAATAACCGCTACTACACTTGAACTACTCATTCACCGCCGAGTAGGAATTGAGTAGAGAAGAGGAGTTAGAAGATTAAGATTAAGATTGTTAGAAAAAGTCAAAAAACAGTAAACACGATGGTCGGTTGCTAGGGCTTTTCCTCCCGCAACTTCGTAAATTCAATTTTTGGCTCACAGAGCAGTATTTTATATTCCAGATGAAGCAAGACATTAAAACATCTTAATTAGAGAAAAATTTTCTCCAAAATTTTACCATTGTAAAGGTATTTTTGACGTTTCTTGAAAGTATGACGTCATAAGTGACGCCTATTTTTAGTAACAACATTAAAAACTTGCAAAGCAGTGTTCAAAACATTACAAAAATTTTTGCTACACAAAAAGAATATTTATAGTGAAAACCCCATCCCAATCGGATAAAATGGCGTCAAGTTACAGCTAATAAAAGAAATCAAATTTTCCCCCACATGACCATATATGGTCAAAATTAGGGGGATTTTAAACGCGAAAGCAATGAATGTATTGTCACAGGAGCAAGGAAAAAGTTGCATAAAATCAAAATTGTAGTTTTTTCTACTTACTTTTTTTTACTTATGTGCTGCTATGACGCGTTTTCGTCACGAAATACGTCATTGTGACGTCAAAATGACGTATTTCGTGACGAAAAACGTGTCATAGCATCACATACCCTAAGTAGAAAAAACTACAATTTTGATTTTATGTAACTTTGTCCTTGCTCCTGTTCCAATACATTCAATGTTCTCGCGTTTAAAATACCCCTAATTTTGACCATATATGGTCATTTAGGAGAAATTTGAATTTCTTTAATTAGCTGTAACTTTGCTCCTTTTTATCCGATTGAGATGGGGTTTTCACTAGAAATCACAGAATTCTATACAGAAAACCAACGTAAAATTTTTACCATTTCTTTCCTGAATTTTTGTTCGGATCCCAAATTTGGACATCATTTATGACGTCACAACAGAAGTCACATGGGATGAAAGAAAAACCAATAAACAGATATTTTATCAAACTACTTCCCTGCCAAGTTTCGTCACATTCAATGCATTCTACTTCTGTCTATGGCCTAAAACTCTCAGTTTTGAGAGGCATTTGGGAGGAAAAGCCCTAGCAACCGACCACCGTGTAAACAGGAGCACCCAACGACAATTTTCGGAAAATATCTGTTCGGAAGAAGATTTGAGATCTAGAATTTTCGGAACATTTGTTGTAAAATTTGTTGCTTGCCTGCCTCTCCTCGGATTTTCGAACATCTAAAAAATGGTATATTTGCCCATTTTAAAAGGATTTTTACCTTTAAAAGGTCAACTAGAATTTTCGGGAGCCTTTTTTCTGGCTGAAATTTTCGAAAAGGTAAGTTTTGATCCCTATAATTTTCGGATCACTAGACTTTCGGCTAGGAAATCCGAACAGATGAAAAATATTTAGGGGATCAAAATATGCCTATATCTACCGTTTAAATACTAAAATACGTTTAACAATGGTATGTTTAAGTGGTTTTAAACTATATTCTCGTTGGGTGCCCCTGAGTAAAGAACAATATAAATCAGACTCCTGGTACCTCATGGCTATAAAGCGAACGAGTTGCTCGAACACACCCCCGACTCGAAAATCCCCATGAAAATCTTTTTGCATTACAACTTAAAAACGCTCCCGTCAAATGCAAAATCTTCTTTTATTCTTTTCACTTTAGCATTCATAGAAGATTGTAGTGAAAGTCAGTCCCGGTGCATGTCTGCCGTGTTTAAGACACTGATATATACATTGACATTCTTTATTTAGACATGCAGTTAAAAATTTAACGCCAGTTTTAAAAAAAGATTTTTAGTTTTAATTAAATAATCAGTCAACGGATGACAAGCAACGGATGACAAGGATGGACATGGACTGGCCATGGACGCTAAATAGATTTCTATCTTTATACTATTTGCTCTTTTAAAAGTTTTTGATGGCGTGGACCACAATATTCTCCTGCCCAAGATCTCATACCTGGGTGCTGGTTCGCAAGTTACATGTACCAGGAGCCCATCATGTACCTATCTAACTGATCACAATATCCATGTATTGATCACGCATTTTTACAATGTGGTGATGATATATTAGAGTACAGACACATGATGAATGAAGTGGAGACTTGCTTTTCTATTTTTTGTTCAACATGGACGCGATTTTGAAATTGTTTGCAGTTCGTTTGAAGCAAGTGAAAGCCTTCTAAAAATGGCTTACTAGGAGCTGTTTATAGATAAGGAAAAAAAAAAGAATAAACCGAGACAAGTTCTTGAACGACTTGAAAATTTAGGACAAATCCTGGAACAGTAAAGCGGTACGAGGCAAGTATGTCGTTGCTTCTTTTCTGCTCATTATGTAAACTATATAGATCCCATGTAACCCTGGGTCTGTTCACTAATATCATAGAAGACGTCAAAATTTGGTTAAAACATCAGTGACACACACACTCGCATGCGGCTCAGTGCAGCTCAGTGCCGCATTTTTGTTTTTGCCACATTTTGAAGTCATCTGGAATTACTGAACAGGCGCACCGCGCACTGCAACATGGAATCTATTCGTTAAATAGTCATTACCCAGGTCAACTGAGCCGTGTAAGCCTGTTCCAGGCGTTCAGTTTCTGTGGACAGCACAAAAAGATGTGAAAAGAAATTAAAAACAGCGTGGGTTGAGCCGAGCAAAGGAAGGTTCCCTCCTCTCTCCACCTCTCCCTCCTTATTTTTTTTCCCAGCTGCTCTGACTTTGTGCCGCATTCCAAAGTTAAACGCCTGGAACAGGCTAGAGCTGAATCGGTCGCTTCATCGATTTATAAACACCTATCCGAGGACTCTCAATCTTCAACATTGGTGCAACGCAGTATTGCTCCGTTACATAAATCGCGCCGAAATCACCGTTTTTATGTTTGAACTAGTAGAACGGTTTTTGTGCCGGCGTCAAATCTATCCGCTACATTGTGAACATAACCTTAAGTTCCCTGTTAGCAACGCCAACAAATGCTTCAATCAGTCATGCTATTTTCTATAGCAGGTTGTCAAACTTTTTTGTTAGGGTAACTCCTAAAATTCCTGACAAAACATTGTCGCTATAGTATCTGGGTAATATATAATCTCGAGAAAAAAAAGGAAAGAACGAGGTTTTACCACAAGCAAAGTGAAGCAAATGTAAAGGATGAAAGAGCCATGATTCTTTATAAATTTTTTTAGACTGCGATCAGTCTCTTATTTTTCTTGTGAGACACAGTACATCGAGAACATGCGTTGGAGGGGGTGGGGGAAGTGGCGAAGCAGCGAGGAGCAAGGGCGGAAGCCCATGTTAAGCAAAGAAAAAATAATTGATTCGCATAATTTTACTTTTTCTCTCGCCGAGCGTGGCTCCGAGGAAAGAAGGACGACCGCTCGCGGTGTAGAATTTTTTGTAACCCTAAACTGACTTTTTCAGATAAAGATTTCTCTACCGCTTCAATATGGCGAAACTTACTCGCGACTAAGTTGAGAAAATTTACTCTTTTGCATTGCCTGACATTTTGACCTAAGAAATAACTCAACTGCTACATACTCATATAGCGTTTTCTCAATGAAAAACTTCGCACATCAACATATACGAAAACAAACGGCGGTAACTTACCTCTAGTTTGGTGCTGTTAACAGCTGGACAATATTTTCTGCAGTTGCACGATAGAACAGTTGTTGAAACGGTTGTTTGTGAAGTATTTTCTGTAGTCCGTGGTTTCGCTGGGATACCAAGCATGGCTTCTGTCTTGTCTTCAGTATTTTCCTCGAGTCTTCTTAAGCTTCGGAGGTCGCTGTTCGTTGATGGGCATTTGCTTGCGGTGCTATTCTTACCATGAAGTAGAAACAAATGGAGTAACCATATATATACACACAGATAACAAAATAAATATAACCCTTAGGCCCGCGGATGGGAGTACTTTAGGAATTTTTGAGTGGGGATGTGCCGCTGGGACCCTGGAACCCTTAGCCTACACCAGAGCTAGTTCAGCTGAATTTTTTTACCC